GTCCTTTCTTCCTTGTATATATCAGAGTGACGGCTTATGAGGTGATTTCGGATCGTGTTTGTGTTGCCTCCCTTGCCAAGCTTGTACACCTTCCAAGTGGGCCATCTAGCTAGATATCAGTCTCTGACAAGGCCTGACAATCGCATATCGCACTCACTTGCATAGCTTGCAGCTCACGTACGGGGTGTCTGGCTTCTCCCGTAGAGGTTCATCTCCATCAGCGGGAGGCTCCGTATCGGGTCGTTCGGCAGACTGGATTGGTCGCATATGCCACCAGACGTCACTTGCCGCATAGGTTCTGGACTGGCTGGTGCGTTGAGAGACCGAAGGCTGTAAGGGATCAAGACTCGGAGCGGGAAGCGAGTCTGTTGTTGGCAAGTCAGGAATGAACGTCGAACTAACAGTTCTGTTATTCTGCGAAGAGCTCGGCGCAGGCGGATGAAAGGGACCAACACCAAATGTCAAAGGCGTGGCCTGAATTCCATTGACCTGCGTTCGAGCCCGTTTTTGCCGTGGATTTGTGATGTTGCTACGTGTCCGTGTTCGCTTTCCGGTTGGAGCGGGTGCATTCACAACTTGATCTTGTAGATTTGTAGTGTCCTGGAGAGCGGACTGTGGAATCACTATTGGAGGTGCAGGGGATGAGCTCAGCTGAGTAACACCAAGATATGATTGTGCAGAAGGGTCTGGCGGCAAGAATCGGCCCCGAATGCCATTACTCGGGTCTGGGTGAAGTCCAACAGTGTTGGCGAATCCATGCAAAGAGTCCGAAATACCATAGCCACTGAACATGTCAGATAGCATGGCTCTATGCGGACATGTATCGACTGAGCTGCAGTTACACGGGGCTTGCATACGCTGACAATATGACCGAAGGAGTTTGAGCTCGAAGGAGAAATTGAGAAAAGCGATATATTGGTCGACTATATACTGTTGCCAAGTCGATCTAGTGCTGCGGAGTACATTGACGACATGCTCGAAGGTCTGCGCTGAGCGGCAAAACAAAGTCTCCAGACGCTATGAAGCAAGTATGTCGAGCACGACGAGACGCGAGCGCAAGATCGGTGAGCAGAGGATCACGTGGTCGCGCCTGATAGCCAATGGGAACACTGAGCTAACCTTCTAGCAAACTCGCGAGTTCACTCGAACTCGCCTCGCCTGAACTCGGAAGATCGAGTTACGACGAGTTCGAGTCGAGTTCGAGTTTGGATCGAGTTCACCTCGACTCGACGGCAACACTAGCCCTGGCACGCCACCGCGCCTTTGACAACATCTTCTCTCTTCATCGTCGACCAAGTACTCGTCCAGTGGCTCGGTCTGATCTGCCTCAGCACTACGAGCAGAATGGCCAAGAGCGACACCGACTCGATTCTCTTCTTACTACCGTCCGAGATCCTGGGCGTGGTCATTGGGCATGTCGAGGATGTCGCCGATCTCAAAGCCTGCGCGATCGTCTGTCGGGATATGCTCCCGCATGCGCAGAGTAGGTTATGGCGTAGTGTGACCCTCGGGCAAAAGGCCGATTTAGAAGCGATCATGGATTTCCTTGACCGTGCCTCATATCTCGCCGACTACATTCGCAGGTTGCGCATCCTCAATACCCCCTACTGGTTCATCGATGCGACACCGTCTGTCCCTGAGTACCAACGACGGTACATGGACCCAGTCGAATGCCCTGACCTGACCCCGTTTCTGTCGCGCCTTCCGGCGCTCGACGAGCTGGCGTTTGAAGACGCCTCCCTAGAGTACAAACCCGACTGGTCTCATGCACTATCTCCAACCCATCTTACACCCTTGACTACCTCCCCTTCCCTCAAGAACGTCAGCGTTCTGACTATGACAGGGACCGGCTTCGAGTCTTTCGAGGCTTTCTTGGAGTTGGTGTGCAGTCTTCCCCGCCTTCAGGTACTCAACATGGAGCGTATCATAACGTATTACGATGACAAATTCGAGGACGAAAACCCACAGGATCCACGCTTTTCTCTTACAAATCTTCAGCAGATCGTCCACTGCCCGTGGAAATACGATCACTTCCAGTTCTCCTGTACCTTATATCGGTTTCTGGCCGCCCGCCCGTGTATCCCTCTGCGACGTCTTGTCGTCCGAAGCAGCCAGAGTTTGCATTGGAGGACGCTAGGATCGGTTATTGAACAGCATCCTCAGCTAGAACACTTGACGATCTCTACCATCAATCCTTTGCATCCCCCGGGTGAGTGTCTCTATCGGTCATCCGAGCGGCCGTCCCCTGACCCATGCTCGCAGACCCATTGTCTACTTTCGTAAACCTTGGACGTTGCACGAACCTCCGTTCGCTCGCCCTTTGCCGCTCTGTCAAAGGCTCGTACATTCGCCCACGCTGCACGACGTGGATTTCCGAGGTTCTGGCCTCGGTCAACAGCCCTCTTCTCGAAGAGGTGACGATCACGTTTGAGACTGATACTTCCTACATCCACTCGCTGTGCTGGCAGGACATCGACACCGTTCTTGCGGACTCGGAGAAATTGCCGCGGCTGAGGAAGGTGACGATAGTTCCTTACGCGGAAGATGAAAACCCGGAACATTACGCGTTCTTCATCGCTGCTCAGAGGGCACTGTTGCCTCGATCGTCCGACCGACTCGGATCATCGCTGTCAACGACTCCCCAGGAGAACGATTTCTAGCTTGTTGTGTGATCCGCAAGTAGTTCCTGTATGTTCCCCAACATGAATATCGCTGTTCGGTGTCAACCCTGCGCATCCTTTTGCTCTCAATCGCTGGACACTACTCACTGGCGCACGCTTGAACGAGCGACGATCCGCGTTGTATGTAGGTATTGGTTCAGTAGTACTTATCGGAATGAGCTGTAATACTGTCAAATGCTCTGGAACGAGAACCTGGCCGATCCGCACCAGATTTCGAACCTCGAATAGGCTATTATCATGCCATACGCGCCCGGGGACGCTCCGGAGCATGATCCTATAACGGAGGTGTCCTTTCGACTCGCCCGTGGGAGCACGCTCTATGCATGGCTCGCTCAACCTGGGGGAACCCCCCGGCTCCGACTGACGGGCGACGCACGCTCAGCGAGTTGCGGTTGCGTCCTAGTCTCAGTGGTGCGCATCACGGACTTGTTTATTCATTCTCCGCAGCTTTGCCCATGAATCATAGTAACGCCAGACTGCCAGCAATTCACAGTACGTGCGCACCACGACGTGGTTGACATCGGGAATCGCCCCGGGCGACATGGGACAGCGCACGCCATATCAAATAGCACTAGGCTCAAACAGGTAGAAATACGGTCTCGATGAGCGAGTAGCAGAATAGCGATGTGGTTGTATACGCGGGACCTGAGACGACAGCATGTCGCCCTACGCTAGGGTCACCTTCTCGAGCACCTCCGTCTTTCTGGTCATTCCGTCGTGATCTCTCGTACTCCGAGTTGCTGTTGCCAGAAGACATTACGGACTACACACAACACATTGAGCATTCTGCTTATTTCTCGCACGAGAGGGTGTAAAACTTGCCCTGCATTCGCCACCATTGCAATTCCTCTCGGAAAGGGTCAAGTCGGGCAGTTCGACAGCGGATTATACACGGAACGCATATCACGACGAATGAACGATAACACGATCAAGACGCCTTCCCGAAACGATGTTCTTTCGGCGACGGGAGGGCAAGAGCTCCAGCTACAGCACCGATCAGGCACGCGGTAGGTGGGTATGTGCTGAACAGTGCAAATATGTGTGCTGACACTCGTTGCGCATGGAATGTGGGATCACAGTCTCGAATTCGCTATTTAACTGCTATTGATTGCTTCGGCATAATAGCTCTTTTTACGGAGTACGCAGTCATCCCAGATCGTGCCCCATTCCTCATGTTTTTGTGTTCACTAATGAAGTGCACCTAAACCTGGTGAGCAGTTCTTCGGATACGGACTTATTCAAGCGGCGTCTCCGGCGATATCCCTCGAGGTCTCTTCCTTAGGATCAAGATCTAAAAACAACGTGCTGCAGGGTGATAGAGTACGTGTCGAGGCAATATACTGAGGCCAGAAGGCGAAGGTTTATCAGCGGCGGTGGCGGATCCTCGGAGGGCCAAATCTAGCTTTCGTCGCACGGTAAAACTCCAATAACATGCGAAAACGTAGCAACCCGCGGACCCAACTCTGCCATTGAACACAACAACGCGCCCTCAGATCGCACTTGCGTCAATGCGTGGTAATGACTCAGTATTACTACTACGCACGCATTGTGAGAATTTATTCCTGCCTCGGCAAGAGAACGGATGTATGCTTACCTTGCAACCGGCAACAGGCGGGAAGCACATCCTCTTATCAAGATCAGCTTTAGGTAAGTTACCTGCGGAATTCGTAGACGGAAAGCGCATTAAGCCATGTTGTCAAGAGCACACAAAAAACGCCTGACCGGAAGAGGTATCCGTTGCGGACGGAGCGGCGAAGACTCCAGCTACGGCGCCAGCAAAGCACACGGCGATGATTCTGGTCAAGTGCATTGTCAATGCAAAAGATGAGTAGCTGGCAGGCGGGTTTGTGCTGATAGTCCAGGCTTGCTGATTTTTTTAGCCAGTGTCTTTGGTGACGTCGAGAGCTGTTGCGCATGGCTTGATCCGCATCGGAAACTTCAAATGATTAACAATACTGCTTTCCAACTACTTTGCCACTGCTTCTAGAGGTCATCGATTGTTGCGACAGAAACAGTCGCGTTCCGTTCCGACGGAGAGATATCTCAATCAAGTATCTATCATATTGAGCTTCTTGGTGTTCGGTTGACACCTCTTACAGAGCTCATTCACAGGTCGCCGACTAAGCAGCTGATAACGACGCGAACTCTGCAAGGTAACAGACAGGAAATGCAACACAGGCAGCATGGTCACGAACTACCCACACGGCACATGTCGTCGGACCGATAAACGACGAGGAGGGCTCCCGACCGATGGCGTCAACCATCCGGCCCTGATGTCGAACGACGACGTTCGTCGGTAAGCATTTACTACAATAGGATCAAGCTGGCTGATACCGCGCTTTCGAAGCACGTCGTAACCGCTCGGCGGCCGTGCAAGGGCCGAGACAATGTACTGCATTTAGTGATGAGTGCGTGTCCTTTCAATTCCATGCGGGCATACCCGATGTACCACATGTTATGGGAACCATGGAGCACTTAGAGCCGATGCGAGGGCGAAGACTGAGGTGCTCTCTGAACCGGCATGCTAATGCGATGTATCAGGCTCGTACCCTTCTCCGGGAAGCTATGATGAAGGACGGTATGGCTCGGCTTTTTTCGCCATAGGACTCAACCAACACATACGACAGGGATACCTTGCTATTTAGTACATTGAAATCATCTATGATGGTATTTAGAGATAGGATTCAGAAACAAACCGTCCCTCAAATCCGTACGAAAACTTACTATTGAAAACTGCTTGGACAACGTCCTAACTGCATCTACATCGCATTGCAACTCGGTGGCGAAGGCATACAGCGCCTTACAGGCGCTCGGCAAATCGCCGGCGCATGCATGCGAGATGTTCACCGCGTTAGCAGAGTGAGTCTGGCTTACAACTCTTGACCATGAATTATCAACCAGCAAGGTATATCGGAAAGAATGCATTGTGACGGTATCCGCTACAAATACATGTACGGTCTGGCGCGTCACTCAGTGACAGCCCATATACTACATCGACTAGGGAATATGAAGACATGAAGGATGGTGTTGGTTTACAATACTATGCGGATGTGATGTCAACATTGATGAGAAGTCGAGCCCGATTAGATGGTCTTGCGATACAATTAGGGAGCACGATTGCCTTTGTAGGGTTTTCAATGCGGGGCTTGAATGTCATCATGACGCTCGTGGAGGACATTCAGATGGTAGCCGTGAGGAGCTCCGAGATGTCGAGGCTCGATAGGGACTCGGGAGCAGTGGCAGTAGCCGCGGGGGCGCTGGTAGTGGTCGGGTTCGCGGTGATGAAGGTAAACCGGCCTCCCGTCGCAGAGGAGCTGGAGGGCGCTGCGCTGGCGGATTCGGAAACCGAGACGCTGCTCGAGCTCAAGATCGAGGAAGCGGCAACGGAGGAGACGGCGGGCACCGAAGCGGAAACTGCGACGCTGGGCGTGGCCGACGCGACTACGGTAGTGACGGCGGCAGACGAATCGGACGCAATGCCCGAGGCAGAAGCAAGGACTGGGACAGAGCTTGCTGCGGCCGAAGAGGCAGCCACGACGCTCGCGCTGGCAGTGTTCAGCAGGATGGTAGTGGGTGCAGACGCCACGATCGAGGAGCCTGCCGCCTGGTTGACTGCCGACGCAGAGGCGCTCGCGCTCGCACTCGCGGAGGCACCGACAAGGACACCGGTCGCGGAGACGAGCGCAGTGGACTCCACAGAGGACGACGCGGAGGATTGGATAGCGTCGGTGCCTGTGACGAAGACAGTGGACACAACCGTGACGAACTGGGTGACCGTGCTTGCGCTTGCGTCGGAGGCGGAGACGCTTGTGCTGACGCTGGCCACGGACGTAGAGTCGGTCGCGCTCGCGATCGCACCGGAGATCTGCGACAGGATGGGGTCGGACGACGCGCTCGCTTCAGTGGGTGCCACATCACTAGCACTTGCGGAGGCCGTCGAAGCAGCGGCGGAAGTGAAGACCGCACTGGCGGGGACAGTGGTCAGGCCGATGACGGAGATCTGCCTCTTTCCAGGTGCGACAAACACAGGCTTGTTCTCGTAGCCATAAACGGCAGTAGCGCGCTTGTGGATGGCCTCTACGGTGGAGACCGCCTCGCCAGCGGTGGGCGCCGCGGTGATGGATGCGCTCTTCTCAGACGAAGATGTGACGGCAACGGCAGTGGTGGAAGCGGCGGTAGAGGCGATCGACTCCACGGTCGAGATTTGCTCGAATGTACCTGTCACAGACGCGCCGGTCGAGGTCGCGACGGCAGTGGCAGTGGTGGCCGCAGAGGTGGACGGGTCAGCAGCATCGGATGCGCTGTCGGTTGCTGCGCCAGACGCGATGGGGTCTACGGTGGACAGTTGCGCGAACGTGACGGAGGCGGCAGCTGCGGAGGATGTAGCTGCAGATGCCGCGGCCGATGAGACTGCAGAGTCGGTGGCGACAGCAGTCGATGCAGAGGGGAAGATGGTCGTTACGATCGTGAGGGTAACCGGCGCAGAAACCGTGGATTCGGTGTCGATGGTAGTGACGGGGACGAAGATCAAGCTGGATGTTGACGTGGTCCCAGCATCGGTGGCAGATGAGGGGGCAGCGGCGCTGGATGGGGACGAACCAGAGCCGGTCAAGCCACCGGTTGCGCCGGTTGCGGCGATCCGGGCCTCTGCATCAGCCTGGGTGTCGCATCCGATGCTGGTGCCGGCCTTGTTTACGAGCGGTAAGGCAAAGCACGAGAGCCCACCCGGGCACTGCGTCGTGGCCCATGTTCCACCAACGCACTGCGCGAAAGAACTAGAGACGCATGCTTGTTCACCATCTGAGAGGAAAACTGCGTCAGAATGGAATGAAGGTAAACCTGAACGTGTGGACGCACCTGTGCATGAGTCTGTCGAGGCGAGAGTAGCAAACTTCGCGTTCAGCGACTGTGCGTCGAAGCCATTCTGAAGGTGGAAGTCGGTTGAACTTGAGCTGGCAGCAGCTGCTGACGAAGCGGAGGTGGTGGTGGCAGCGACGGCGGTAGAGGTCGAGTTCTCCGTGGCTTGGCGTGCAGCCACAAACGGCTTGGTTACCGGAGCGGCAGCGGCAAGGGAAGAAGCGCCGAGGATGGCGAAGACAAGCATAGAGATCATGGTCGCAATCGAATGTGTAGCTGACTGTTGCAATGTGGTGTTGAAGATGATGAAGAGAAGACGTGGAGATGAATCGTCGGTAGAATGTAGCACAGTCTAGTCAAAGCAGAGGGATGGATAACGAGCAGAGCACCAGGCGTCAGTCGCAGTCAAGGAGTGGGTGACCGAGGTGAGGGATTTGTCCATCCTGGCACCCAGTATTTATCGTCCTGTTTAGCTCCGCAAGTGGCACTGTGGCCGTGGCATTGACCTGGAGGCCGACAAAGACAATGAAAGGAGCCATGGCCAACAAAAGCAGAAGGGCAGGAAGGGAAGCTCGGCTAACCATTGTTTTACGTTGCCTTGAAAACCCCGTTCATTGTTCCATAGGGCAGTACGTTCTATAAAAAGGGATTCAATGCCAGGGTAAGGTCAGTCAGTACACTGTACTGCGTGTGTCCCCTATCAATGATAGACATTCACACGCCTTGCGCGCCGACTCCCCGACAACGAGCTCGTGCCAAGACAGGATCTTCACCGTCAAGAGAGAACATGCTTTCGTGGCGAACGCGGACTCGCAAACCCACTTCTGTGCTTAAAAAAACCTGGCTAATGCAATGCTACTGCTCCCATAGATCGCTACCCGCGATGGCTTTGCACGCTGGCTTCCGGTGACGGGCCACCCACTCCTTGGGGAAACTTCCACCGGCGGAGGACTACCCTTTGAAGCTTCTGTCTGAGCTGCACGCGTGCTGGGCATCAATCGGTGCGCTGGTGAATCCGGACCATAGTGAGTTTATAAGATATAACATCATGTGTGATGCCGGCTCAACCACCTTATCAAAGAATGACATGTGCATATATTGACTGCGATTCCACGAATACCGGATAGGACCTCGTGCCATCCAGATGTTCTCCGGATCCAGGGTTATCCGGTTAGCTCTCGAACGGCACTAGCGATTCTCCTGTGCCTCAACATAACATTGTGTCCATGCCGCTCCGTCACTGGTGCCCAGTATTAGGTACCTTCACGATATTCGGGCCGCACGGGACAAGACTGGGCCGAGCAAGATCGCTCCAGTTTCAGGGATCTTCGGAGCCGTCCGAAAGCAAGTATAGCATTCCGTAGCGTCAGGCGAACAGATGTTTATACTTACGCGCCACTTCTAGATACCTGACCACGCATGTCCGAGTCCCTTTTCTCACCGGCGACAGAGGTTCTCCAGGACTCTCCCGACGAACACGTCAAGCCTTTGAAACTTCGTTTTCGGCAAGAAAAACTGGGCGACTTCTGCGGAGGTTCCGAGGCTGAATGTATCACACGGAGCGCCGGTGCCTTTCCGTTTGGACTCGTTGGAGTATCCGACGAGCAAACGGCGGGGGAGGTCCGAGAAGGAGCAGGAATCACAGAGAGACCTTGAAGTATCCATCAAATCCTCGCAGAATCGTCATACATCGTCGTGCATATGAAGAAAACCCGTCGTATCCACCAAGTCGTACGAGAAACAGAGCAATATCCTATGAATCATGACCGCGAACGTTTCGCATCATTTTTAGTGCGGCAAGGCAGGCGTGTCCGCATCCACCCGCCTCCTCTTGCCTGCGGCGCTCTCATAACCGAGCACCTTCGTGCGACCCTCTCTGAACTTCATGAAGATCAGCACGGCGATTGCCGCGAGCCAATAGAATATGTACGACAGCACGCTGCCGACTACATAGCGAAAACAGACCAGTCAGCCTCCCCTGTTTCGAGAGGGAATGTGGGATAAGGGCATCCTTACCGGTGGCGGAGTTGGTCCAGCCGAAGATGGCGCCGAAGATGAGCCAGCCTTCGCCATCGAGGTTGTTCTCGGGGTTGCAGCAGTCAAGATGCCAGACGGAGTTGCGCACGTCGAACGAGCCGGGACCGTCTCCTCCCGCGTCGTCAACGTCCTGGCCGAGACTACGCACCGCGTCAGCGCCCGATCCTGAAGGCATACACACCTTCACGAGGGTACTCACAGGTTGTTGAATGCGTTTTCCTCGAAATCCCAGACGGCCTTAGAGAACAGACCGGCGCCGATGAGGAGGATGAAGTTGGTCATGACGACGAGGAAGACCCGGAGGGCGGAGCGGGACGCGAAGAAGTAGATGAGCACGCCGCAGACGAGACCGCAGATGAGGCCAACGATGGCGGCGATTGGGATAGAGGTCGCGGACTGGCCGAGCGAGACACCGCCGACGAATACGACGGCCTCCATGCCCTCACGGAGCACGGTGATGAAGGGAAGGATGAAGAGGACCCATTTTCCAGCTTTAGCATCGCCAGTGACATGAGTGTTTTTCTGGGAGAGGATACCCGTTTACGATGAGGACCATGGACGAGGACAGAGCAAGGACTTGCTCCACGAACCTCAAACGCGCGCTGAAGCTTGACGCGCCACTTCGCCTTGGCACGGTCCATCTTGAGCATGGTGATGCCCATCACGAAGATCATCAACGACGCTATCAGGGAGAAGATACCTACACGCGGAGCGAGACGTGGGTTTTTGAACAAGTGATAGAGTGAACGACGGAGCTGACGTACCTTCCCAAAGTTCTTCGCTCTTCTGCCACAGGTTGGAGGCCTGAGTGAACCAGACGGCGATGAAGGCTGCACCGATCGCAAGGGCAAGGAGCAAACCCAGCGCTGCACCCGAGAAAATCTGTGTACGGTGTTAGCCCACTCAAGACATCTTCCTTACGAGGCGACGAACCTGGATACGGAGTTTGCGGATCAGTCTCCTGCGGTTGATGTGCGCGTCGGCTTCAGCGAGGTGAGCTTGGTCAAGTTCGTCGACGCTGTCCTCCATTGAGCTTCGCTCAAGCTCGGGAACCTCCGCGGCAGGCGTTGCACCGTCCTTTTTCTCCTCAGCGACGGTGGTCGCGGGGGCGACGGGCGTGGAGCCGGCCAAGGAGCCGGAGTCGTCGTGCACGATCTGCTCGACGAGACCGAGGAGGACGGCGACGATGATGGCCGCCTCGAGTGTCTCTCGGAAGACGATGAAGAAGATGGGGACGGAGAAGAGGTTGCGCGCCATGTCGAGCTCTGGTCTACGGGTCTTGCGAGGTCCTGGGAATGGGCGAGGACTTGGGGAACCAAGAGCGGCGTGAAGCTAGCGTGCAGAGGCTGCTTTGACCAGCGGGGCTCTGGGGTGGGCGGCGCGGAGGAGGAGAGGTATTTTCTTGCTATCTGATAACCCTCGCGCGCTGCACCTTCGATCTCCTGATGCCGGGATTCTTCGGGGCGCCCTCGGGACTAGACCCCAAATAGATTGACAGAAGGGCGCGCGCCTCGAGACCGCATCTGATAAGATCCGTGCCGTGTGTTTGATCTACTTTTGGTCCTTATCTGATTACGCTTCGGGCTTATCAGATCACTCTCCCAATCAGGATTTCCAAAGACGGCAATCTTGGGCGGCGCTGTTCGCTCACCACCTCCGATTTTGAGCCTTTTTGGCGCCACTCATTTCGCGATGCACCGTCCTGCAACTTCACCGCTGAGTTACCGGGAGAAAGCTCGCTTAAGACAATCGGCAAAGCGTACGGCCGCTGGAGACGAATCACGCCATTTCCCGACGTTGTCCTCGTCGAGCTTGCAGAATCATCTCAGTGCTGTCTTTCAAATGGGCATCGTCTCGAGGAAACCGACACTGGCCATCTCTTACGTCAGACTCCATCACTGGGGTGCCAAACAGCATAAGGTTACGAACTTATTGCGAAGACAGAAGGCCGCTAGGGGCAGGTGGATGCGCTCATGTGCACGCGGTACCCGAAACCCGCGGCGAAACTCAACCGAGTTTAGATGGACTTCTCTTCTCCCGCGTTGTCTCCTGGAAGCGTTTATCAGATACGCCGCATGCCGTTTCCCCGTCCTCCACAAAGCACAAGGAGAGGAAAACGCGTCCGAGCTCACCAACCCCGTGCCTCGCGCTCCCCCTTGAGCAACCAACACCTACGAGGACCGCCTCGGTGACATTCGCACTCCGCGTGCCTGATTTGATTGCGCCCAGACACAGAGCTTGCGGAGCTTTACGGATCCCTTTCCAGGCCCGGTCCATCTCGGACACACACGAAGCTGCGTCTTCGATCAAACCACTCGATCCCCAAAAAACTTATCTGATAAGCCAGACGGTACGCCCCCTCCCATCTCCCGCCCTCCATAATCTCATCTCCCCTCCCCTCCGCAGCTTCGTCGAGGATGAGGACGTCGTTCGCCTCCCTCTCCCTGACGACCCTCGCCGCGCTCCCTGCCGTCATCGCGGACGTCACCGAGCTCTGGTGGAACATCACCTACGTCCAAAACGCCAGCCCCGACGGGCTGTACCAGCGGCGCGTTATTGGCGTCAATGGCACGTTTCCGTACGTTTGTTCTCTGTTCCACTCCTATGAATACGTTATTGACGAGCGCTCGTGTATTGCTGGTACAGGCCCCCGCCGATTGATGTGACGGTGAACGACACGCTCATTGTGCACGCCACCAACTCGCTCGATGTACCAACGACGCTCCACCACCACGGCATGTTCTTCAACTCGACAAGTTGGATGGACGGCGCTCGTGGCGTCTCGCAGTGCGGCGTCCCGCCCGGCGCGAGCTTCACATACGTCGTTCCCATCAACGAGAGCGACCAATGGGGCACGTACTGGGTTCACTCTCACTCTGCTGTGGGTGTTTCTATCATCCTGATTATCCTGAGTTATCTTCCACCTATCACCCTACTGACAGCCCTTCCTATCTACAGGGACAATACGCGGACGGTCTCCGCTCACCCGTGGTGATTCACCCGACAAAAGAGGTCCACTCCTACGATGAGGAGTACACTGTCATCCTCTCCGACTGGTATCATAAGGAACATGATGTTCTCCTCAAAGAATTCATCAGCGTCGCCAACCCCGGCGGAGCGGAACCCGTACCTGGTACGCCTCTCATTGTCCTCTTCTACTGGTGATCTCAGCAGTGACTGAACGGAACGTGAATGCATATCAGACTCGGCCCTTATTTACTTCGCTCAAAACGGAACATATCTGGGCCCTAAGAGCGGAACGAGCCCCGACCCTGTTACGGCCTCCGTCGGTTACAATGGTGCGTACTGCTCTATGCTCTCCGTTGTTACTCCCAGCAGCGTCTGACAGACGTTTTCGCTTCGCTTTGGCGTACAGACAACGCGACTCTACCGTTCGAACCTGGAAAAACATATCGTCTGCGCGTTGTGAACGTATCTGCATTTGCAGCGTTCTTCTTCTGGATCGACGGTCACGACATGCGCATCATCGAAGTCGATGGAGTACGTGGAATGTGTCTTACCCTTATTTGTTAACTTGCAGGCTCATGTGTTGATTTTCACGACTTAGACGGATGTAGAAGAGTCCCCTATCGACCTGCTCTCGCTTACCGTCGCCCAGCGCTACTCTGTCCTCGTCACCGCACGGAACGACACGTCGAGCAACTGGGCAATCCACGGCGCTATGGACACGGACATGTTCGATACCGTCCCTGCCGCGCTCAACCCCAGTAAGCCTCGACGCCTTTTCTGACAATGAGCACGAGGACCTCACAATCACCTGAAGATGTAACGTCGTCGATCACGTATGATTCGAGCGCTAGCACCAAAGATCTTGGTGGTGTGGATGCATTCCACGACACCAACGACACGGCGCTTGTTCCCGTCGAGGTTCAGGCGCAGCTCCCGCCGGCGAACAAGAAGATCGAGCTGGAGGTGATTCAAATAATAAAATAATATTTCTTTGCATAGCGGAGTCGCTGATCATGCATTTCATGTCTAGGTAAGCTTCGACACGATGGACGACGGCACGAACCACGCTATGTTCAACGGGATCACATGGAACGCCGGACTTGTCCCCACCGTTCTGTCGGCTGCCACCCTCGGCTCGAACGCTACCATCGCCGATGCGTACGGACCGTTGGCGTTTGTCGTCGATCATTTGGACGTGGTGGATATCGTGGTTAAGAACAGCGACGCTGGCAAGCATCCTTTGTGGGTATCTCTCTTATTTCCGATGTCACGTACGCAGAAACCGAGATTTACTCCCACCTTTAGCCATTTGCACGGTCATAAATACCAGATCATCGGGCGGGCGCAAGACTACACGAGCGACAACGTTACGTTGAACCCGCCTGTCGAAGAGGGCCAAGCGAACCCGATCCGTCGTGACACGGTGCAGGTGCCCTCTATGAACTCAGTCACGCTCCGACTCGTCGCGGACAACCCAGGAACATGGTTGTTCCATTGTGCGTCCTCCGGGTCGCCACTGCGCATACTACCGATACACTGACGCGTATTTTCACAGGCCACATCGAATGGCATCTCGAAGTCGGTCTCGCGATGCAGCTCATCGAAGCACCGCTGGAAATGCAGAAGCAGATCTCCTCCGGCCAATACACCATCCCAACCGAGCTCGCCGACCAGTGCGCTGCTATGGGTCAGCTCACCTCGGGTAACGCCGCGGGGCACACCGACCCGACGGACCTGTCCGGGCTCACCCTCGGCCCGTACCCGCAGAACAACGGCTGGCACCCGAAGGGTATCGGCGCGATGTTCGCTTGCGTGTTCACCGCGACACTGGGCATGGTGACCGTGGCGTGGTATGCGATTGGAAGTATCAGCGACGAGGAGGTCGAGCGCGAGGTGCGCGCCGCGGTAGAGAAGAAGGAGGCGAGGGGACGGTTTGGCAGGTTTTTCCCGAAGAAGGCTTAGACTGACGATCGTTGGTTGTATTGCTCTTTGGATTCTGGGATCGTCGTGATGAGTGTATGAGTTTACGTCTCTACTTTGATGTGATAATGGCTCTTCGTCTCGCGATGTCTTCGACTTGAACCATGAAGTTGTGAATTATGAATGACTCGGACAAGATATGCACCGTCCCATTGGACGCCATTCAATGATTATGAGCTCTACTTCTACGGAGTTCATTGGAACATTAGACGATAATCGTGCTTTCTAGACAATACATTGCGCCCGCATTATATACGTACCAATTCTCTGTGCAGCCGGTCCAGAGATAACGGTAGCGCCGACTTACACATTCGGTCTCAGACCCCTTGAGACAATCCCACAACGCGTAGTGAGTCGTGCATGGTGTACCTGGCTGCACAATTTTCTGCACACAAGTCGCACTGTATTTTATGTGCTTTTGGCGGCAGCTTCATGAAAAGCGGGAAGAAGGCATCAAGTAGACTGCAGTCGGCCGATAGGGACCGAGCTCATTCCGGTCAAGTTCTGGGCCAAATTGAGACTCCGACGCCGGAGCCTCGTACAAAACTTTTGCGTGCTGCTCGCCGGTTTTTTAATGCTGCCCAGGGCCATCGCTCGCCGCCTTTCCCCCTCTCTCCCATCTCATTCCCCCCTCTCCACCCCATTCCTTTCATCTTTAAGCTCGCCCCGGAATTCCCTGGCGAAAACCCAGACGTTCCCGACGACCATTCTCCAAGCGCGCACGATGGCCTCCACATTGGGGTCCACCCCGGATTTCGTGCGTTCACCATGAGGAATGGAACTGACGATCAAGAGGACTGACTTTCGTCTTATTATACAGAACAAGATCCTTTACACTCCTCTCGCCGAGGCAGACCCGGAGGTGCAGAACATTATCGACAAGGAGACATGGCGCCAATTCTCCGGTCTCGAGCTGATCGCCAGCGAGGTACACAGCTAATCTATCGCGGGCGCTGCTTGTTAGACGTGTTGCTCACGGGTCATATCTCAGAATTTGACGTCGCTGGCGACGATGCAAGCCAACGGTTCTATCCTCACCAACAAGTACTCTGAGGGATTGCCGGACCATCGGTACTACGGCGGTAACGAGTGCGTATCGTTCCAATCTCAGTGTCTCAGACACCGTATCCTCTCCGTCTGAGCGTACTCATTTACCATTTTATCAGATGGATAGACGAGCTTGAGGTCCTGTGCCGCAAGCGTGCCCTGCAGGCGTTCCACCTTGACCCCGCTAAGTGGGGAGTCAACGTGCAGCCCTATTCCGGCAGCGTACGTACTTCCGACTAGCCCTCCCGTTACGTACATCTGCGTAGACTTTCGCTTTCACCCTTTTGCACATTACTATATTGGCACTTCGCTAACTTCATTGTCTCCGGCAGACTGCCAACTTCGCCGCCTTGACGGCGCTCCTCCAGCCCCAGGACCGCCTGATGGGTCTCGGCCTCCCTGATGGTGGTCATCTCACTCACGGCTACTACGTACGCGACGTTCTCATTCACATAACGTCATTTCGACTAATAGTTCTGATCGTCACAGACCGCGAAGAAGAAGATGACTGCATCCTCCATTTACTTCCAGTCCCTCCCGTACTCCATCGACCACTCCAACCAGCTCATCGACTATAAGGGTATGTAGGACTCTTCTTACGCTTCTTCTATCTTCTCCTTTCCCGTATCGGTGCACATATGCTGCCTTCAAATGACGATAAAGAGCTATTTGCTCGAACAAACCCAGCTCGTCGACAGGATGGGAGTAACGCCCCAATCCAATGAGAGAACGTTTGATCTGATTCTTCCTGTCTTGCTTTGTTTCCATCTTCCTACATTACCGACCCGTCTTGCTGAACAACCACCCCTACCCCAGGCCTCGCGACTCAGGCTCGCATCTTCAAGCCCCGCTTGATCATCTGCGGCGCATCGGCTTATCCTCGCGACTGGGACTACGCTGAGCTCCGCAAGACAGCTGACGAGCACGGCGCGTTCTTGATGGCCGATATCGCGCATACGTCTGGCCTCGTCGCTGCCGGCGAGCTCGCCGATCCGTTCCAGTACTGCGATGTCGTCACGACCACTACGTGAGTTTTCTTTTTTTTCTTATATTCATCAAGAAGCATGCGAGACCTAATGGGACTATTGAACAGGCACAAGACCCTTCGTGGACCTCGCGCTGGCTTGATCTTCTTCCGCAAGGACAGCAAGTACGCCGATGACCTTGAGAAGCGTGTCAACGACGCTGTCTTCCCTGCTTGCCAGGGTGGTCCCCACAACAATGTATGTCTCGCTTAATCCCCATCTTGGGACATTGTAAACTGACCCCCGTTGTGATGGTTAGACCATCGCCGGTATCGCAACGGCCCTGCACCAGGCCTGCCAGCCGGAGTGGAAGGCGTACGCAAAGCAGGTGATCAAGAACGCTCAGGCGCTTGCTGAGACCCTCGTCGCGAAGGACTACAAGCTTCAGACGAACGGCACGGACAACCACCTCGTGCTCTGGGACCTGCGCCCGCTCAAGCTAACCGGCTCTAAGCTCGAGAAGCTGTGCGATCTTGTCGGTATCACCATCAACAGTGCGTCTTGTCGTCCCATCGTTGCCCGGATTTAGAAGCTAACCAACCGTGGGGCCACAGAGAACGCGGTGGCTGGCGATACCTCTGCGCAGGTTCCTGGCGGTATCCGTCTCGGCACGTCGGCGCTCACGTCGCGCAACATGCTTGAGGACGACATCAAGCAGGTTGGCGAGTTCCTGAACCGCGCGGTGCAGATTGCGCTCGTACTCCAGAAAGAGGCGGGCAGCAAGCTACTCAAGGACTTTGTCAGGTACGCCTTCACTGCGTGGTCCACCTTTCCGATCGATGCTCATCAGTGGGTATAGGGTCGCAACCCAGGGCGGAGAAGGTCTTGAGGGCTACAAGCAGGTGAAGGAGCTCAAGAAGGAGGTGCAGGAGTTCGCACGCAAGTGGCCTCTGCCTGGTGTCGACGTCAGCGACCTCAAGCGGCCCGCTGGCATCTCCGAGGACGACTAAGCTCGTCCTTGGGTGCTTGTGAGTTACAGAGTTGCGGGTTGGTGCTATGTGGGATTCTGGTGGCTGGTTCCGTTGAGAGAGAAGATTCAACGTCAAAATCTGTAGCATTTCACTCGTCCCGGCGGACATTCAACATCGTCCGATCCGTGTGTATTCTATCATTGACGTATACGTATATTAGACACATGCTTTATCTGGATGTGCGTGTTGCAGGGCTTGGTGAATCGAGACGTTTAGCAGTAAGGATATATTCCCAGCACCGACCGAGCAAACTTGCGGGTCAAGGCCTTGCTGGTGCGCACGTTGAGGCAGTCAACGTGGCTAGCGCGTCAAAGGATTATCATACTCCATATTGGGGTACATTTCATGGTACATGTTCCATCGTCCTCCCAGTTTATCCCCTTACTCTCACCACCTTCCTTTTTCCCTTCTGTGCTCCTGCCCCTCCAGGTAGACCAGGTACCGGGCTCTCCTGCTGTGCGCTCATGCCCGCTTTCACGGCATCGACGAGCATCCCGGTCGGCAGCGCCGGTGAATAGGGCGACAACCGGTTCTGCAGCGGCGGGAGGGGCTCTGGCGGAACGGGCAGGCGCCGCTTGCTCGTCCGCTTCGTGGGCGGGGCCACGGCGGCGGACGGCGCCGGCTTGGACGCGGACGCGGGTTGTTTGCCTTTGGCGATGACCTTGGTCGCGGGTTGTGCGGCTGCGGTGGCCGAGGCGGTCTCGGGTGGCGTGAAGTTGAAGGGCTTCTTGGGGATGTTTTCGGGCTTCAGGTGGTGGATCTGGAAGGTGATTGCTTCCAGGAGCTGTTTCTCTGTCCGTCACGTATGTTGTAAGTAATATTGCATATACGGGGTGGCACAGGAGTGCACGCACTTGTCTTGATGGCAGGGTTGACGAGCCTGCCATCCTTCTTCCATTGCACGCGCACGCGGCCGGGGTTGTCCCAGTCTCGCGGGTGAGCCTTGTTCACCTCGTGCAGCGTCCCGAGCCCGAGCCGGTTCGTCGCATCCGCGATGTCCTTGCTGAGCGGCCACCATACCGCCTTCTCGCGTGCGACGCGACGTTGACCGGTGCCGTAGGCACGCTTGGCATCGATGTAGAGGGGGTATATACATGTCCATCTGATCGGCCAAAGATAGGTCAGCGTACAGTATCAAGGCATACACGATGGCTAACGGGAGCAGAATGGGGAGCGTACTTTTTGTACGGAGTGATATCTGTGACCGAGTTCTCTGGGCGCGAGGGCGGCGATTGAGCCCCACGGAATTGAGGATGTGCGGGTGACTGGGGGTTGCTCGTAGACGGCGCGACGAGCTGCGGGGCGTCGTCGTCCGACTCGTCCTCATCGGAGTCGCCGATCTGCTCGAGAATCGCGCCGCGAGGCCCAGTGTTGGCCAAGGGCCGGGAGGGCAGCGGAATGTCGGTGTCGTCGTCGAATTCTTCTTCAACGATGGCGGCGCGACGAGACATTCTGAGGTCCTCGAGTGGTGCAGCCTTCGTACAGAAGCCGAATGTATCTCCTTCAGGAGGGATGCAGGGGTTCAAGAAAGAGAGGAAGGACGGAACGGAAGTGACAAGTGCGGATGGCTTCACGTCCAGACTTTGTCTTCCTCCTCACTTCATGACTTCATAGCATCTGCTGCCTATGCTTTTCAGTCACAATGTCATGATGTTCAGATGGCTTGTTCTTGCGCTATGGTGCCTTTTCGTACTTTCGGTCAATGCAGCAGACTCGCCGACGCCAACGTCCACAACGTCACAACCTCCTCGTCCATCCGTGATATGCACGCCTTTTGGAGTTTGCGAGCCTTGTCCTGAAGACGCTGTAAGCCGTGCCAACTCTCATACATCCTGACCGCTCTCTGAATGCAGCCCATGTTACCAGCTACACCAGCCCTTTTGCCAACCGTTTGGCAACCGAAGACTCGTCCACTGTTCACCCATCTCCTCGAACTCAACGTCCCCCGCCACAACCGCGCTCCCACATCAGCCCAACCGCAAACCCGCGTCGAAATTTCAGGGTGAGACGCCTGCTTGGGAGGCTTGTGGACGCATCCCGGAGGTCGAGCGTGCAGACTTCTACGAGTTTGTCGCAAGCAACATCGGCTTGGCGGCGGTGGGTGTGTTTGTGCTCTTCGCACGCACGAGGAGGATGGAGATGCTGCAGACGAGGCAATTGGCAGCTAGGATTGGAATCACTGGGAGAAACGCATAGGCAGACAACATGCTCTACAACATACAACAGATGTCGAGGAAGGGTTTCGATGTATGATCCGTCAACGGTTCACCGCTAGCTTGGTCACCGTGCGGCTGGGTACGAGATTCCGTTGGTCGTGGTCATATGAATATTCGGTGATGGGCAGTAGATCCGTTGAATGCACAGTTCGACAAATGAACCGCCAACATGGCACACGTTGTTGAGCGCGTCTGGGGACCGGCGAGAACGCACATACAATCCTCCACATGCACCGGCAGTTGTGTCCCAATTCGCTCACATATCAATCCCTCTGCTCTGAATAGACGCCGGCTACAAACCATCTGCAGTACTTGCCGATCGTGATGAACATGCATGCGATAAAAGGCACGGTCCTTTGCCTAATCCATCGCCCTGCTCTGATCACCAAGTTCTGCCACAACTCACTGTGCCACCTCTTGAGTCTCCTCAGTCCGTATCGAGCATCTCACGTATCGTTGCTCTCATCATTGGCTACATTCCTAGATGTATATATGGTGCCCATCGACTCGGTTCGGGGTGGGCTAGACGCAGTTTTTGCACCGCCTTGTCAAGTGCATACGCTACGTCGTCCGGGTTGATGTGATCTGTGTCGCCACAAAAGATATCTTGATACACCGACTGGGCTATCATGGGCCCATCGACATCCTCCATAGACCTGGGTCAATTATATTCAGCATAAATTGACGCAAGAATTGCTCGCGACCAGTAACATGATCGCCTATCGCACCATAGAGTAGCAACGACGCTCTTGAAACCGGCAAAGAGTATCGTGGCGGCAAGATGGACAATCTGGTCGGGCTGTTCCTGATGAGGGAGGCAAGTTTATCAACAATGGGAAATCGCAAAAGACCAAGCTCGCCTTATCTCCCTTAGCTGTCTCGCAGGCGCTCAAGAAGGCCATGAATGCATGGGGTAACGGGACAGGCATCAATCGCTCAATCGTCAGCATCTCGTCCTGCATGACGAACCCACTCTGCAAAGGGTTGTCCACGTCTTGGTGGCCATGGCAGGCAAGATGCAGAATAGTCGCTTGTGGCAGCAATTTGAGCAGCGCCTCCGCCGTTATTCCATCCCCGTCACCACTCGAGACATCGTCCACCCTAGGCAGCTCTATTAATGCTTCTTCAGGCAGTGCCCTCCGAACCGCGCTGACCTCCTCGCGTGTGGAAGGGAGCTCAGTCCACTGGGACATGCGAGAGCGACGAACTGAGGCAACCAGCGCTCGGATGTCTCGCTTGGGAATCCGTTCGTAATTCGCCCTAGTGGTACGAAGGGAGCTGAGCGTCGGTATGTAGGAGGAGACGACGTAATCAGAGCACCAGATTCCGTCGGCACCGGCCCCGTGGATCGGGAGGTGAACAAAATGTCCAGTAGGACACCACCATACGCGGGGCCGGTTTCGACCCGCTGAAGGCTGCAAAAAACAGAATGTGAGCATATTGTGGACCCATAGGCACGGCCCAACGGCTCTTACCCGGATCCCCAAAACATCGAGGATTGGCTTCACTGCGTCCACCCACAGCCTGCGCAGAATCTCGGCCCCTTTCGCGCTTTCCGGTGTGTGTCGCTTTGCCGGCTTTGCTACTTTCAGACGACCACCAAGGTCAGCTCTCGCATCTTCCATAGCAGATCTCCATGCTATCCCCGACTCAGCGAGCCAAGCGGAGGGTAACCGATCGATGAGGATGCTTGTGGCGTCATCGGGGCGCTTGATGATGATAGCATGGCATGCTACTGTGCTAGAAACCAACACGACCACGGGCCCTCTTTCCGCTGCCTTTGTTAGCGTCCCAAATTCGTCGTGCATCAAAAACCGTTCTAGACCAGGTAAACCGCGGATTTCTTTCAAAAGCAAGTTGAAATCCTCGGTCTGTCGCCTTCTCTGAGCGATTGTAGCCTCTAAGACCCGAGGATCATCTACAGAATGGGACGCATGGGCGGCGGAGTCCAATTGCAGTGCGAGAGTCGAGAGGCGATCTCGGAGATCCTCGGGAACGACGTCGAATGGAGAACGTAAACGCAGGCTATGGGTCCAGAAAATCGCACGACCTTGCTCGAGAATCTCGAGGGACTTGTGGGGAAGACATAGGACCAACGCAATCGATGCGCCTCGGAGGGCCACGTTCTGTGCGGCCTTGAGTGACTGGAGTCGAGAATGCAAGTGAACGCTAAAATATGCAACCCTCTGAAGCAGACTGATGGTCTGTAAGTAGATATCCAGGAGTTGCGATAGCGCCCCGCGATCCCCCTTGAGAGCCTCCTGATGATGAGTTTGAATCATGTCGAGCATGTTGGCAGCACCTTGAAGCCGCGAGCGAACGTCCCTACTGTCGTCTTTCAGAGCATGCATGAGATTCTCCAGCGCGAGTGAGAGATTGTAGTAGGGCGCATCTCGTTGCATGTAAAGTTCGGCGATATCTACGAGGCATTGGTACCTCTCACGGTAGCCCGGAGGCACGTCCATCAGGAGCTGATTCATGATCGCCAACGCACGATGTGCATCATCGGCATGCCGAATCAGGCGGAAACGAGCGGAGAAGCATCTAGCAAGGGTGCGTGCAAACTCCGGCCAAGCCGAGCGCTCTGAAAACCCAGAGACGACAGGCTCTAACTCCTGGATCGCTCGCTCGACATCATGCAGATTGCCATTGTGCTGAGAGCGGAGAAGAAGCGCTTTTGATAGAGAATACGTCCCATGCGGTTTATGGACCCTAGTATTGGCGGACGCGCTGCGCAAGATATCTTCCGACAGAGATATAGCCTCCTCGAGATCGTTCGAAGTATGGAAGTGCTCGAAGCGTGTGCATAGATGGGCAATCATATCCACAGCGATAGAGCTGTAGCGTGCATGAGAGGGTGAGATGGCAGCCATAGCGGTGCGATCCCAGTTCAACGCTTCATTGAGGTCAGAAATCTCCCCCGTCTCGGCGAATCGAAGCATAAGCACGTTCGCTATATCATCTGCGATGGCGTATCGCTGGGGAAGATCGCTAGGTGCGGCATCTGCGGCTTGTCGACCCAGCTGAATTGCTTCCTCCAGGTTCCCTAGTCCTCCAATCCAGGCGAATTTCAGGCTCAGAGTAGACGCTAGATTGCAAAGATTTATCGAATGGTGTCTAGAGCGGGGGTTTGAACATTCAAGAACTTGCCGTCGCAGCTCGAGCGCATGTTCGATGTCGCGTCCGTCGGACAGGGTAAGTTGATGGCGAATGCTGAGGAGACTTGCCACCGTGTTCATGGTGGAGTTTCGTGGAGGACGTTCTGTTTCAATCGCAAGTTGGCCAAGATCTACGGCTCTGTCTAGGTCTTCGGGACTGCCGTACGAGAAACATTTGCTGTACAGCGCGGAAAGGAGAGCACTATACACTCTTCCTCGGTCGATGTGCGTAGGCGAGCAAAGTAATAAGGAGTTTTCGAAACAAGCGATAGATTCCTCCAAATCGCAAGACTCGCTGGTTGTTTCATGACGACGAAGTAGGAACCAGCCTAAATTGAAGGGATGGAGGTACCGATGTTGAACGTGATCATGAGATGAGGCTATCTCCAGCAACGTCTGGCGCTGAATATCGATAGCTTCGTCAACGTATGCTCGACAGCCAGTCGTCTCGAATCGTCGTCCGAGAATCCATGCAAGATTCGAACGTGATGCAATCTTCGATGGATGCCTTGAGTTAAAGAGCGATACAGCGTGACGGCACAGCGATTCAGCAGTTTCTAGGTCTCCTGAATGAGAAACGTTGTCCGCGTTGATGCAGAGAACACGAGAGTAAAGCGCCAACAAGGTTGGACATGTTATGTCTTCTGCAAGGCAGGCTTGGAGAGCTTCTCGACCGCGACGAGCAGCCTTCAACAGGTCTTCCTGGTTGCGAGTGTACAAGAATCGTGCGAGAAGAGTGTCGACAAGATGTGCCAGGGTGTGATATCGCTGCATTTGGCCTGGGTAATCAGACGTCTCGAGAAGCGTTTCGTATATTCGGATGGCCTTCTCCGCGGCTTCCGGATCCGTCTGTCGGCGAAATTGCTCATGAAGCTGAAGAGCCTCCGCAAGGTGCCCGACAGGTTCAGATGGCGGGGCTGGGCCGATGGGACGAAGAGCAATGAGTATGTAGAGTATATCGGGGTGAAGTGAGAATGTGTACCTGCAGCGCACTCGCAAAGACGGCGGATATCGAAGGCGGATAGATTCCCGACTAGCGCTGGAAGGGATGCATCTACGCGCGTGTTCGTTACCATTGTTCAAAGCATGGGCGCAGAAAGCGATGGGCGTACCGAGTGCAGGAGATGGCTCAGCGCGTGAGTCGTTGTCCTCCATTTCAGCGAGCATTGCGTCGTCTTGGCCCTCCTGCGCCCTATATATGTCTTTGTGGTCTGAATTGCTTCAGGCACTGTACCTTGATAGAAGTTGCGTAAGGCGGATATCTCCTGCAAGTTGCGAAACCGAGCATAGCGGCAATCACAAGATCTTTTGAAGGCTGGGGTCCTAGAGAACGAGTCGAGGTCATCCTTGGGCGTTTCGTGTACTCAGAGTGCCCGAAGTGCATGCGTCGTTCTCAGGTAGCAACTATGAGTCACACGTTGACCTCGGAATGTTGTGCGTAAGTAGATGGACTAGACTCGTCGATTGTGTGAGGATGCGGCGTATCTCCTAGCATTGAATGTCGGAGAACATACCGCGATGTATGTGCTTTGGCCCATTTGGTCTATACTGCGTGCCACTCGGATGTGCTTGTACTGCGGAGGAAGATGGAGGGCCTGATGCAAGGAATACGCGCCACAACCGAGTCTGACAGGGCGCGAATTAATGGCTCAGTCGAGCTACCGAAAACATGACGAGGTCAAGAATCAAGATGCGAGTGTTTTCTTTGGTTGGATAGAGGAGGTTCACAACTTGGGCACGAGGTTGAAAACAGAAGCCAAGAAAAACTAGGTTCCATGTCTGTCGCGAGATAATACATGTACAGCAATATCATGGATGATATTCATACCATGTCCGAGCTTGGAGGCTGTTGGGTGAAGTCGTTCGCCCGTTTTCTGTTGCTTGCAACGCCACGGCGTTCTCGGAGCTCTCTGCCACAGCATCTCCTGCCCCCCTTCTCGGACAGCACTACACGAGGGCCAAATACGCTTGGGATCATGTAGAAGCCTCTCTACTTCCCACATCAAGAGCCGCTCATGATAGGTTGTATCCGAGACCGCGTCACAAGTTACTACGTCGGGCCCGCCAAGTTCACAAACCCGCTGCCCTTCGCCCTCGCGCGCAGAGGAGACACCGACCCGGGACAGTACGTACTGGTGCTTGCGGCGGGCTCGTACGTCCCCGGAGCTCGATACCTTGCTATCCTCAACTCCACGTCGCCCGCCGAGCTTTCTCGGGACGGAAGGCCGCTGTTATGGGTCGTGCCAGACGTAGAGATGACGCCGTCGCAAATGCCCGGCAGCACGCTCGACGAGCTGCTCGCCATCACCTACCAAAGCCCGCCGCTGCGCTTGACGGGCGGCATGCGCCTGGACGCGCGTGCAGCGCGGGGACGGGCGTTGCAGGCCGAACTTCTCCTCAAAGAGGACGAGTTGCTCCGGGTGTGCTGCTACTGCGGCAGCTTGGAGAACGGCAACTGGGTCATCTCGGATCAGTTCGAGAGGTGTAGTGGAAGCGGATACAGCTCACTGTATCGATGCGGCAATGTATGTGATATGTTTCAGGCTGCCGTTTTGAGAACGACATAGGATCTGATGGGTCTACAGTGCTCGCACAGAACCTTCGTAGGCCGTGTGCTGGTGGTGCTTGCTCGCAAGATCTCATCGTGGCTCGGGAACCACCCATGAACGCTGAACGCGCTTCAGAACTCTACCCCGAACTGTCCCGCCTCTGCCCCCCCTTGGTAAACTCTCAAAGCCATGCGTTCTCCATGGGTCATTGTACTTGTTTGAAATGATCGACGGGCTCTTATGCATCGAGGATAATATGGCCCCAGCGAGAGATCGGACACACCGATGCTCTGGAGCATATCGCCCGCATTTCGAGAAGAACAAGATGTAGCGTTTCAGTACGCACGATGCTGATCACCCTGCTGAGAGGCACGCAACCGATTTCGCACGCCCTCCGACCCATCCTTGACAGATCACTGGATCATTGACCCCGCACTTTCCCTCAGTCCGTCTTCTTCGGAGCGTGGGAGCAATGACCTATCGCGGTTGCTGACATCATCATCGCCGGCTCATTCCCAGGCGCCGATGTCCACGGAGGCATTTCTCCGCATCCAGCAGTCTTCATCGTTCATCCCTTCATATCGCTCAATACCCTACCCAACAACCGCGAGCCAAGGACGGTCCAACGACGGAGCCGAACGCGCGTCGCGACCCATGTCGTTCTATAGCTGATTCATCAGCTGCTCCGCTCGAAAGTACCAGAGCCCAGCATACATCAAGCGCTCACGATGCTTGGCGGTCGGTATTGACGGCCAGCTCATACTCGCCAACGCTCTATTCAAGATGTCTCTTCCCACACGCAAGATCGGTCACGACTCGTCACCGCCATCGGGTTCGGAGCCATGGGTTTATCCTTGTGGTACGGGGACGCGTACAAGCAGGCGGACGAAGTGCGCTTGAAGGTCAGCGAGCACTATTTAAGCACAGCGCAGCCGGGGAGGGCTCACACTATTCATCCCAGTTCCTGGACGAGGTATACGCTCGCGGGGAGCGCAACTGGGACACCGCGGACGTGTACGCTGACTCTGAAGATCTCATTGGCAAATGGTGCGGAAGACTTCCCCAAGGTTGTGCCACCGATTTTGCTGATCCAGCGACATCCGGTCCTTTCGCAGGTTCAAGCGCACGGGAAAGCGGGACGATATATTCCTCGCGACCAAGTTCGGCTGCGGGCACGGAGAGAAGGACAGGCTCGTCCGCGCTGACCTGGGTTATGTACGCGAGGCGTTCGAGAAATCGATCAAGCGCCTCGGCGTCGACCACGTCGACTTGTACTACCTCCATCGCGCGGACCCGACCGTGCCGATAGAGCTCACCGTCGGCGCCATGGCCGAAAACGTCAAGTGAGCCAGCCTCCGTCTTCTCAACGCGAGCTGCCCGGGACGCTGACGTTCTTTCCGCCACAGAGAAGGCAAGGTGAAGTATCTCGGCCTGTCCGAGGTGTCGGCGGCGACGCTCCGACGCGCGCATGCGGTGCACCCGCTCACGGCGCTCCAGGTGGAATACTCGCCGTTCGACCTAAGCCTCGAGAGCCCCCAGCTTGGTTTGCTCAAAACCGCACGCGAGCTCGGCGTCACCATCGTTGCCTATTCTCCGCTCGGCAGGGGCCTGCTGACCGGCGCGATCGTGAGTATCGGCGTCCTGTCATTGCGTTGGACTTGACCTGACGTTCCCTCGCACAGAAATCTCCAGACGACCTTGCGCCGGACGATTCCCGGCGGTGGCTTCCTAGGTGAGCAGAATCAACCCTCGTCCGAGAAATTCTGAGCGGCGCTGACTCTACCCCGATGACGAATGCTCAGGTTCTCCAAGGAAAACTTCCCTAATGTCCTGAAACTGGTCGACGGTCTCAATGCCATCGCCGCCAAACACGGCGCGACTTCCGGCCAGGTCGCCCTCGCGTGGTTGCTCGCCCAAGGCGACGACGTTATCCCCATCCCCGGCACGACCAAAGTCAAGGTAAGCGATACTCAAGTGTACGCGCACCCCGATGTTATTGATGACTGACTCCCTCGGCAGAATCTTGAAGACAACCTCGGCGCGCTGTCTGTGCAGCTGAGTCCGGAGGAAAGCAAGGAAATTCGCGACGCGGCGGAGAAGCTGGAGGCCATCCAGGGTCCCAGGTATCCCCCGGAGTACGTCGCGATCGCATTCGCGGACACGCCGGAGCTGAAGTGAAGCTTTGCGAGTGTCTGTATGTCATCTTTATTGTTGCTATGTATGATACGGTAAATATGCACAGAGCAGGGCATGTACGGTCAGCATTACATGGCGCATAAAATGAGCGGATTATACAAGGCTTCAGCTGAGGGAAATTCGAATATGGTCACCGTGGACGAGAACTGCGAAACAGGTGGAGGGTGGAAGGAAGACAAAGACGGGTACGGGTGTATCAGTAGCGCAACCATCCGCGTCGCATGAACATATTGTCGGAGTCCGAGTCGTATTCGTCGTATTCACCATCCTGCTGCCGGACGTCGAACTTGATAGTGCACTTCATTCCGTTCTTTGCGTAGTTGAGTTGCGCGCCGTCGACGACGACCGTGCATTGCCCGCGCTTGACGGACTTTGAGAAATAAGGCGCGCCTATATAGTGGATATGTGAGCGCCGAGAGTAGCCCACGGGACAACGACGTGGACCTACCGCCTATCGTCCACATGTTGCCTTTCAGCTCTTTCATCTCGTCTCCGAACAGAGCAGACACCTGCGCCGAGTTCTATAGAACGAAATGTCATCAGGACGGCTTATGCGGAGGCGGAACCTGACAAGGCTTACGTAGTGGATGATCGTCACTGTCGACTTGGGCTTGTTCTCCGGTGTCGGCTGGATGAGAGTCCCGATCTCTCCAGGGCGGAAAATCGCCTGGAAGTCGTCGTAGTCGATCACATCATCCACCTTGACCGTCTTCGGGCTCCCTTGGAATTTGCACGTATCCGACTTGCAGCCCTTCTTCAATCTGGGGGGTTTGTCGCGCGTATATAAGCACATTTGCATCGAGGTAGGCGCAACGTGAGCACTCGCTGATCAAAAATGCGCTTTAAGATAAGCCGACGTTTCTTCTCCTCCGTCTTCGCAGTGGCAGCAGCCGCCTTCGAGGAGGAAGGGCCCGCCTCGTTCGTCAGGTTGGGGGTCTTGCGGGCGCGTTTGGCGGCATGCTCCGACTCCGACTGCTCGAGTTCGTTCTCAAGCTATATTGAAAGACGCGTCAGAATCAGAAGCCGGACGCGTCGGGGCAGACACGGTCGTGTGAGTTCGAATGCGTACCTGGATGATGCGAGCTTTCATGGCCTCGATCACGTCTGCGCTCGCTGGAACGCGCGGGTCTATGCGCTCCAAATCGAGTTCGACTGTTATTGTGGCAGGCATGGGATGGAGAAGAAAAGCCAGGCGCATCGCACAGAAGAGCGTCGCGTCAGAATACAATGTGTGAACAGAGGCATACGACGTACCTCCTCCTGCGACTACGATAACGCGTTTGCGTTTCGAGCCGGCGCGGGCATTGGCTGAGGATTCCGCGAGCGGCGCCATTCGTACCAGAATGTCAAGTAAGTATATGAGGAGGGACGGAGAAGGCGTGTTACAGTAACGGGCGACGCGTTTGTGACAGACGTGTCAAATGGTCACACTCAGATTTTCAGGCCACCACGGTCTCGACGACGGACGTTACTCTCGAGCGGCTTAGGTGTTTGCGCTTTGAGTCTAGAATGACTGGTCACTTTCCAACAGCCCAAGATCTAGTGATCATGGTATCGCACAGACCGCATCAGTCTTGTCCAAATATTACCAGCCACTGGGCACAGTCGCTGGAGTAACTCGAGTTCCCTCCTATGATTGTTGCTCGGCTGGCTTCCCTACGTCCTGAATGGACCAAGGCTGTTCGATGATAGCTATGCAGACTCGGCTATAACTCGGCCTAATGGTACAAGAACCAAGGCGACATCACGCATGATGCTTGGCGATGCAGCGCGCGGGGTATTTGAGTACAATGCTCTTGACTTTGCTGTGCACTGATGGTGAACCCTCAGGTAGACTTGGACAACATCCTACCCCCGAAGGCACCGCCGTATCTGATCCCGTTGAACCCGTGCTGTGATATTCTTGGATGAATCAAGTGGCATTGCATCAATGCACCTTCGTGCATCGGCGTTGGCCTCTTCTCGTTGCGATTGGAGCTCCTTGTTCTATGAGACTCAGTGTACTCATGATATGAGCTCGCATTGCCAGTGGCATATAAGCGACGAGGCTGACGTTAGAGATAACAACCGGTTTTCTTGCCTTTCAGATCTTTTTCTGCTTCTGTCTTCAGTATGCCTTCGCCGATTGATTTTACACTGGGCGCTTTGGAGATCGGTACATTGATATCCACTCTACTCTATGGAGTGATGAATATCCAAGCGTACACGTACTACACCGCCGATATCCAAGGATGTAGTCGCATCCGTGCATTCGCCACGATTGTATGGTGAGGACTCTCGCGATGATCATTTCATCGTTTCTTATAATCATGTCTCTTGCGATAGGATTCTCGAAACATTGCATGCTGCCATCTCCTGGGCATACATGTACAGCGCCACTGTTACTTACTACGGGCAGCCGGCCCATCTTACTTCGGTCCCTTGGTCTCTATCCGCGACAGTGGTCATAGGGGGGACGGTAGCTACTCTCGTGCAGGTAAGCATCATACGCCCGTCTACCATGGAGTTTCTTCATTCAATGCTCATATACAGGCGTTCTTCACCTACCGCCTTTGGAGATTGTCTCGGTCGCTCTATCTCGCCATCGTCGGCTGGGTGTTGGCTATGATCCACCTTGGCGCGATACTTGCGGTCGGCATCCTGGCTTCGGAAATCAAACAGCTCGGGGTCTTTGCCGAACGATATCTATGGGTTGCTCTCCTTGCGATCGCTGACTCGCTGGTGTTGGACATCTTCAACACTGTTGGGCTGTGTTACTACCTGAACAAGCAACAAACGATGTTCACGAGGTATTCGAACATTTGGTGTCAGGTCAGCAGGAATGACTCACTTATGCTAGAACATCCTCCATATTCGACCATTTGATTGCATGGACGATAGGTGAGTGTTGTTCATGCCATATGCATACTTTGATACTGACGGTGATATCAGAGACGAGCTTGATCACGAGGTATTCACTCATATGACATTGTCTGCACGAGTTCAGGCAATTTACGGTGTCAACACAGTGTAACGTGTGCCTTCATGTTGATCTTTGTGCGTGATAAATTGAGGAAATCTACTGAGCATCTAGCTGACTTATCCATGCGAGCTAGTGTGCAGCCATGCCACATAACGGTATAGCCCTGCACTTAATCCATTCTTTGTCGTCCTGATGCATGCTTGCAGCGTTGTGGATCGCCGTTGACATCTTCTATGCCAAGAGTGAGTCGACCTGCTTCGGCGGAAAACTGTTGATGATGAGGTGAAAACATATTGTAGTCTTCTCTAACAGCATGTTCGCGTCGTACGTTTAGGCTCTAGTATTCATCTACGCGTTGCTAATCCTCGCCCGTCCTACAGCCTGAACGCTGGGCGGCGCTTAAGCCAACTTGGAACCCTTGCAAACCAGCCAAATCCATACCAGTCAAATCAGCGTAATGCGTTCAGGGATACCATCGAGATTTCCAACACATCTGCTGCTTCCTACAGTAAAGTGTCCTTGGATGTACGCATCTTCATCGATGGAGACCGTTACGACGCTGATATGACCAACGCCCATCCAGTCTCCGGCTCCGCCGGCGGACAGCTCTCATGCAGCTTGAGTAGACGTTTCCATCGTATCGCGGCCTTTCTCGGCGATATATAGATGGAAGATTGCAACCGAGGCATGCACAGGAGATCGATGGCGGTGGTGAGTTCTGATGTAGGGTTCTGCGGCGTTGGAATATAGCTAGTAATAGGGTCTTGCGTTCACATCACCTGTACTGCTTGGCATGTTCCTGCTATTGTGGACATTGCGCAGGTAGAGAGCACGAACGTGCTTGATGCCGGTGAAGTAGAGTTCATGATTGGTGCATGTATATGCATGTAGTTGCATGATGTGGCAGCACCGGTACAGTACCTATCTGCGGTTGGCAGCGCGTGTGAGCATCACACCAACTTGGAGCGCTTACCACCACGTCGTTTGGAGTAACTGCTGCCCATCGAGTACGACACCGGCACCGAAGGGCTCTATGAACTGGATCTCATGGCGATTTCCTCTAGCACGCTCGTCTTGGGTTATTAGCTTCCCATGCTTTAGGTCAATGAGCCTGGCAGCTTCCGAAGAATGTGGCAGCAAACTGATTCTGCAACTACCTGTTCAGCTTGCATTCCCGATAAAAGACTCGCTCTCCATGTTAGGAATGTGGTACCGGTGCCTCCGATAAGTGCAGGATAGCAACTGTCAAGTTCGCCGCTGACGAGGCGCCACCACCCGATCACCTCGAAATACAGTCCCGTCTTTCCATCCGCCTGTTCAACTTTGTTTCAGGTTATAATGCTCGGTACAGAAGTCAAGGTATAGTGGCAGCATCTGGTCTCAAAAGTGAAGGAATCGATTGCGACATCACTGGCAGGGTGTCCGATTACACGCTTGGGTTCAAATCAGTCTGCCATACTGAGTGTGGCTGGGGAATCCTGAATCTTCCGGAGACTCGGATGCTACAGCTACTCTCGGAATACTGGGCATATTCTTGGTATCGTCTAGTTACTGAGAACGCCTCCTTTACCGCCCACTATTGGGTCCGTTCCAGACGAGATAGGTCTCACGGCAATCGTGAATGCGGGATTGTGATTCACGATGCAGCTCACGATGCAGCTATTCGTTATATAAAGGGCTACTGAGGCTCTTGACTGACCGAGTTAGTCGACTTGACTCCCTTCCTGCAATCGGTATGGTCTCTCAACCCGAACTCTCCCTTGGTGCCCTGCAGGTTGGCACACTGGTGGCTACGTTGCTGTATGGTGTTATGAATGCGCAAGCCTATGCGTATCATACCACTGGTGCATCGGGAAGCCTCCTCCTTCGAATGATGGCCGCAGCCGTATGGTATGTCGGCGAACTATCCAAGGACTCATGGTATACGATTCACCCGTCTTTTCTTAGGTTTCTCGATACCTTCCATGTTGTGCTCTCTTGGATATACTTGTACGACATCATCGTCACTCATTTTGGAAAACTAGACCACGTCACATTCATTCCTTGGCCGCTTGCCGTGATGATTGTTGTAGGCGGTACCGTCGCCGCTTCAGCGCAGGTACTGCCGATTTTGTGAGCGCGCCTAGCATTGCTGATATCAGTCCTAGGCGTTCTCTACCTATCGCCTGTGGAAACTATCACGTTCTCTAGACCTCGCCATGATTGGCTGGGGACTGGCGCTTGTTCACTTTGGTGCAAGAATTGCCGCTGGCACAAAAGCGATGCAAGCGGGGCATCTCGAGCCATTCATGAATAATTCTTCTTGGATTGTTCTGCTTGCGATATCCGTATCTCTTATACTGGACCTGTTCAACACCACTGGTCTCTGTTATTCCTTGAAAGCACAGCACTCAGAGTTCAAGAGGTCGGACCACTTCCATTGCCGTTTGGATTTCATCTGAAAATTTCCCTCTCGAAGGATGTCTTTGCTACTTGACAAGATTGCCGCATGGACCATAGGTTCGTTTTATTTTCTTCCCGCTTGGCACGCAGTGAGATCCCGCTTTCAGAGACCAGCCTGCTCACGAGGCATGTTTTGAGACTGATTCATATTTCTACTTCGCGATAACATGAAGACATCCAGTTTGACTTGCTTCGCGATGTTGATCCTTGTAAGCGGTGTTCGTCGTACTAAGACGATGTGCTGACATGGTTGCTTTGATTGACATAGTGCGCGGCTATGCCACAAAATGGTAAGTGCGGAACACAGAGCGACAAGGATATCGACATGCCTTCTCACTGTTCATTCAGTGCTGTGGATCGCAGTTGACATGTTCTACGCCAAGAGTACGTTCCTCGAGATGTCGCTTATTTGTTGACGACTACTGACTTATACCTACCAGTATGCTCGAACAGCCTGTTTGCGTCGTAAGCACATAACTCGACTTACAGTGAGCTGAAAGGTTTGAACTTCGACAGTTTGAACGCTGCGCGACGTTACGCTCAAGTCCCGGAAACGCGCCCTGCGCGAGGTATAGTACGGAAGCTCATCGCGGCACCGCTGAACGGTTCCGAGACCGAAGTATCGGTGGATGTAAGCATGCTCACCGCGCGATTCATCGCCGCATCCTGCAACTGATGCCATGTATCAGAGCGCATCCATGGTTTCAAATAGACCCGTGATGGTCGCCTAGGTGTATTGCAAGGAGTGCGACATTCAAAGTATCGAGTGCTGCATCGCAGGTTTATGTGTATATATTTGTCGCAAGCATATCTCGAGTCTAGTCCTCGAAGGCTCCGCCCCGCACGGGACAGGTGCGATGCCATCGGTTAAGGGCGCGTCTCGCGCTGCAATCTGCAATGATCGTTGCCGTTCTTCATCCCTTCCTTGTCGGTGAGGGTATCGAGACAAGCAACACCCCGGCAGTGAGGGTTCTCCATTTCGATCAGCGCCATCAACTTGCACCTGCGCCAAATTCAGGCTTCCATGAAACGGGTTCTTGGCCTCAATGAAGAGTGGATCCAAGGTGAGGTCTGCCCATTTGAGACAAGGAAGGATGAAATGAGCGAGTGACCGGATGACACACGATTGTGACGGACGTGACTAAGCCCCCGATAGCCACGGATGATCGATGATCTTCGGCGTAGACGGTAGACCTCTGGTCGTCTTTCATATCGGTTACCGTCAATCGCCTACTGCAAAATATTGTTGTTCATGCTATCTGGCAACATCAATCTCGCACAAGTTTGGCCGAACGGTTGCTGGTCGTAAGGTCGTAATGACAATGTAATTGTCGATCCCGAGGTGAGCGGATAGCGGGACGCCTATTACACTTTCTTGACGCGAGGCGTATAGCTGTTACGCATTACGTTCGCTTAGGATGAGGCCATTCCCGCACCGAACGCGCACTGACCAACTACCAAGGCCAAGACATATATAAGATTCACTCTCGACCCTCCGTCGAAGCGTAGCTACTTCTCCGGAGATTGGAATTCATAGCGGGACAGAGGTTCTACCGTCCTCAGTGAGCATCCATCGATTGAAATTTCTGTTTCGTCATGATCGGACGCGCTGACACGTCTGACAATCAGAATGGATTTTCGGTACTTGCGCGAACCTCTGGACATGGAGAGGGTGGAAGGGGCTCATCAAAATCGCCTTCGCGAGGACGAAAACACTCTCTTAGCGTGCTGCTGTGCATTGCAGAGACTTGACCCGAGCGATCCTCAGGTTCCCCACTACGCTTTGCACCTGGCATCTCACTTGACACGACGGTATACGTGCATAGACGAAGCCGACGATTTAGAGCAAGCTCTGAACGTTTGTCAATGGGCACTTCAACATCCCGATTTACCAGCTGCGTTACGCGCCGCCCTCCTGGATCAGCTGGGGCGGGTGGTCGGACTCCTATGGAGGCGCGATCACCGATTACCCCTTGAAGAAGCCCTGTCCGCCCACCTTGAATCTTCAGCCTGCAGGAAAGCGCATGGGCTCGACGAGTCCGATAACATCTTTTGTGTAGCAATGGCCACATTCTACTTGGCGTTGTCCGACCCTGAGCCTTCAGCCGCGCTCTACGACTCCCTTGCTCTCATGAAAACAGCTGCGCGGACGGCTAAATGCGACGAGTTCAGGGCGGAGTATCTGACTGTTGCATGCAATATCCATATCATCATTTACGAAAACGTCGGGGAGAACTTGTTGGATGACGCCCTCGCGATGCTGAAGGAAGCTGTCGGTTTAACTGGCCAAGACAGCCCTCATTACGGCCTGGTTTTTATGCTCCTCGGTGGGGTGCTATGGAAGAAGTTTCAGTCCCGAACCGTTGATGGCACTTCCGAAGATCTCGAGGCAGCCCTGCTCGCCCTGAAAAGGGCTCGTCGCATTACCGCAACAACATCTCCAGCGCTACACCGTCGAATTATGCACAACCTTGGATGGGCATTGTTGACCAGTTTCGAGCATACCGGCAACATGGACGATCTCGATGAGGCTATGGAGATAGCACGCGAAAACGTGGCAACATGGGGAGACGCAATGTCCCGGACGGTTGCGACCCGCAAGTTGCAGTTGTGTCTGCGGCGGCGTTACGAGCGGCTGGGCATTCCCGAGGATCTGGATGAATCCATCCAAATAGGACGGATGGCTCTGGAGGCTACTCCTTCAGGAGACTCCGAGCGATCATACAATCTCTGTTTGCTCGCTTCCAGTCTCTTACAGAGATACACTCGGTCACACGCACTCGCCGATCTGGAAGAAGCGAACAACCTGTCGAAGGAATCCATCATGGGGCCAAAGGATGTCCGGTTTGGCGTCTACCTTCGCACTCTCGGCGAAGCGCGGTTTCATCGCGCTCTGGACATCACGCAGAACCTTGACGAACTACGAGAAGCCGTGCAAGCTTTGAGGGAATCGCTGGACCTCATCCAAGCGGAGGACAAGATAGGAAGGATTGAGGTCATCGACAGCCTAGCGTCAGCCCTCCGAGCGCAATCACAGATGACCAACTGTGTCGACTATTTGGAGGAGGCGGTCGCATTCCGGCAAAGTTGCCTCTCTGATATTCCCAACGTACGACCGGACTATCCTCACATCCAAGCACTCCTGGCCGACGACCTCTCTGCTTTACATCGCTTGGTGAATCGACCGAACGATTTCCTTCAGTCTATGCGTTTTTTTCGAGATTCGGTCAAAAATCCCTACGGCAATCCCCGAGATTCATTGCAGTCGGGAAAGCGATGGATACAAGCAGCAAGAAGCAGCGGATGTTCCAATCTTGTCTTCGAGGCTTATCATCACACTGTCGGGCTTTTGCCTCGTTTAGCCTACACAGGCTACCACCCAGAAACGCGACTTCAATTCCTCAGGGACACGCCGGGATTAGCGATCGAAGCAGCCAATCACGCGCTCTTGCATTCGCGGACAGCGGAGGCGGTCGAAATTTTGGAACAGGGTCGATCGGTGCTTTGGAACAGGGCACTTCAACATCGCTATCGGTTTGACGACCTTCCGCCCCACTTCGCTGAGCGGCTCAATGCGCTCACTGCCGGATTTGCGAGGCCTATCGGAAGAGAATTAGCTGGGGGAAATATCAGCGACTCGGCTATGTCTCAGCGTCGCCATCTTATTGACAAGTTTGAGTTGGTCTTACGCGAAGTAAGACAGACTCCAGGTTTCGAAAGCTACTTCCTTCCCAAAAAGTGCTATGCACTTCAAGCCGCGGCGGCGATGGGACCTGTCGTACTTCTGCTCGCTGGCGAGACCCAGTCCCACGCCATCATCGTTCGTTCATCCGGAAAACCACAACAGCTTCCGCTTTCGGTCACGTCCGCACGTTTGGCAGAGTTCGCCAGCATGTTGTCAGCCGAAAATACAACTGCGCGCCGCCGTGATACGTCTTATCCCTATGCTCCAGATGCCCACCGTCTCCACGTCCAGAAACAAAAGTGGAACTCCGAGAACTCCTACACAGGCATCTTAGCAGAGCTATGGCATCAGGTTGTCCATCCGGTGATAGCTACGCTCAACCTGCAGGTCAGGGCATGACGTCTACCTATACCGTAGCTTGCTCACCAAAACCATCATTTGTCTCAGGGATGTACTTTGGACCAGCGACCACGGCTTTGGTGGTGTCCCACCGGCCCCTTCACCTTCCTTCCGGTACATGCAGCCGGTATCTACTATGGAAGGAATACAGACGTGTGCACGTCGGACTGTGTGATTTCATCGTACTGTCCATCCCTACAGTCCCTTATCAAAGCACGCCAAGATTACGATCAATCGTCTGACATCGCGATCTTCCGTGTTCTGCTCGTCGGTCAGCCTGAGGCACCCCGTTGTACACCACTACCCAAGACCGTCGACGAGATAAACGCGGCGGACAGAATCATATCCGCTTGCGATGCCGACATCCGCGATGCACGCTGCACTTCGGTACTGATTGGCAAGAACGCCAGTGTGGGGGAAGTGTTGAAGGCAATGCCGGAGGCGTCGATTGTACACCTAGCCTGCCATGGCTCTCAGGATCAGCAAGATCCCTTCCAAAGGTCCGCCGTCGCTTTCTGAGCTGAGCCATAGTGCGTTTTCGTGCTGACAAGGGCATGCTACAGTGGCTTCGCAATGGCCGACGGAACTCTGACGGCGTCACACCTTATGGAGCTTCAACTGCCCAACGCCCTCTTTGCCTTTTTGAGTGCTTGTGAATCTGCAATGGGAGATCAGGTAATTATCCCAAAACTTTTCCAGAATCGTGACGGGACTTACGGCTGGCATAGAGCTTGCCGGATGAAACACTGCACCTCGCAGCGACGATGATGTTCGTCGGCTTCAAGAGTGTCATCGGAACCATGTGGTGCGCGTACCACGTAAAGCATATCAACGCTCAAATTGACAACATTGTAGGTCAATGAACGATTGCGACGGCCCGGAGGTCGCCACCAACATGTACCAGGATCTGTTCGGGAATAATCCTTCTGGTCAATTGGACATGGAAAAGATACCAAGGGCTCTCGATGCCGTGACACGCCGTATGAGAGAGGATGGTTTGCATCCTTCGCGATGGGCAACGTACATCCATATGGGCATTTGAGGCACCGTTAGCAACCACATGGACGACCATGCGTGGTGTCCTACCGCTTTGCGATGCAGGTTACAATACAGTCGTCTTAGTCGATGATTATCGGAAATCATAGTCAATTGTCGCAGCTCGCCTAGACAGACAGCCTGATACCGAGAAAAGCATGAACAAGTTACCGACGGGGCCCTCGAAGCGATTATGCCGGCGGCGGGGGCGGGGGCGGCGCAGCATCTTGTCCAGACGGCGGCGGAGGGGCCGGGGCACCGGCGCCGTTCGGAGCTGGAGGCTGACCGCCTGCCTGTTGCCCATATTGCTGCTGCTGGCTCGCGAGCCACGCCTTGAACTCAGGCGTGTTGACGTCGTAGCCGTAAGCAGCCCTGCATACGTACCATCAGCCACCGAGCGCTTCATTGCACTAATATGATAAACGCACCAATACTGTGCATATGCGTCCAGTGGGCTTTGTGACGCGCCGGCGGCAGGAGCGCCTCCTGGCGGCGCGGGCGCGCTACCATCTGGAGGTGGAGGTGGAGGCGCGTCAGGCGGCGGGGGCGCCGCGCCCGGTGGTGGAGGAGCCGCTTGCCCCGGATACTAATCAGCAACCAAGAAAAACGCAAGAGGTATCGTCAGTAAGCAACCCGGGTGACGATCTTACGCGCAAAAGTAAAGCAGGCACTGCGCGGTAAGAGGGGGGATGAGGGTAAGAATATACATACGGCTACGGCAGTGTAAGCGGCGTACTGCATCTGGGCTTGATGGAGCTCCATCTGCTGCTGCTGGACAATGACTTTGACCTTGGCGTGTTCTTCGCGGACAACTTCGAGAAGGTCGTCCGTTAAGACTTTGGCGCGCGCTACTTGACCTTCGTCTGGTCCTCTGAAGAGAAGGAACATAAGCGGACATGAAAGGACCAAACATGGAAGACGAGGTGGAATGCTCAACACACGTTATATGGATGTACATGGGCTCGTCAGCCTCACGCCCGGTTTCTTGATCGATGAAACCAGAGCCCTGGCCCTTGATCTGCACCCTCGTTCCTGTCTCCTGCTGGATGTATTTCACGAAGATACCCTTTGAGGTTATGAGCATTTACCAGCAATACTTCAATACGGGAATACTCACTTGCGGACCGACAACTTTCGCGCGAACGTTGAACGCCCTCAAGGACTCAAGACCCACAGGTACCTTCTCTTCGGGCCATTTACGCTATGGTCATCGTAAGCAACAGCCAAATATACTGTGAAGATGGTGTACCCTCTCCCTCGGCTTCTTATCATCCACCAGCGGCCCCATGTCCATGTTCAGCAATTCATTGACCTTATCGATCGCCTTTTGCAGTATCTCTTGGGTAGTCGCAGAAATATGAAGGTAGAGAGGCGGGTCCTTCTCCGTTGCCTTCGACCTGTCGGGGTACCATGTGCCCTTCGTGCTCACAGAGGCCCCGGTCTCGTCATGAATCTGAGAGGGTCTGGTCAGCCAAGCGCCACGCAGGTTCCGCAGACAAACGTACCTGCTGTTGCGTACCGCCCTTCGTAAGCATGTACCGGTTCCGCACGTCGTTGATGTCGATGTCGTACGTGAAGTCTCCGTCGTGCGGGTCCTTCGAGCCTCCGAGTCCGCCTGCCGCGTATTGCGCCGCGATTTTGGCGGCAATGGCGGCGGCAGCGGCCGCGGCGTCGCTCGCGGTTTTTCCTCCTTCTTCCGTCTTTGGGACCTTGGCCGGAGTATCAGGAGCGGCCTCGGCGGGATCGTCCCATTTGCGCTTGGAGGACATTGGTAGTAGTGGTGGTGGCAAGAAGTCAAGGTCGGGCGGAAGTCGCACGGCTGCCTTGGCTCTCGCTTTCCATTACCTCTCGATGTATTGGACTCAATCAAGCTCGTGCCGGACTTTGACTGCTCGGCCATTCTAGCGGGGTCGCCATCTGTATAAGTGCCTGGGCTGGTTTCGCGGCGTTTTGTCTCAACATTGACTCCATGGATCTGTCCAACTGGCACATCGTCGTTGCTTGTATCCTTGTGGTGCTGTTGTACATTGTATACAACGACAGGAAGGTACGCCCAACAGTCACAACTCTCTATGAAGTCGAGTAGAACGCTGAAAAGTGGCATTAGCTCTTAGCTTTGCCTGAGGAGGCGCGCATACATTCACCAACTCGGATAACAGCGCAGTCTGCGCTTGAAGCAGCCAAGGATCTCGTCGATGATCCCGTTCGGATTGAGCATTATCTCCCCCCTGCCACTGGTCGAAGATACATTGTCATAGGAGGGGTATGCTGCCCTACGTTTTGGAGTCTGGAATGTCTGTGCTAATCTTTGCGCAAGGCTGGCTTCCTAGGAGGATGGATTGTTCGGCACCTCATTGAACGCGGCGAGGATCCACACAAGATCCGTGTCCTAGATATCAGGGCGGTGAGTAAATGCTTGACCTTCTTCCGACCCGGCCGTCAATTCCCTGTTCCAGCCCACCCGGCCGGACCTAATCAGCGGCGCCGCTACCCTGGTGGACTTTTACCAGGTCGACATTTCCAACGCCGAATCCGTTAAGCGTGCCTTCTCCGCACCGTGGCCCGAGCATGCCTTGGACGCTCCTCTAACGGTCTTCCACTCTGCCGCCAACATCCGCTTCTACGAGCGCTCGCCAGAGCTCTTTTCGCTGTCCGCTGCTGTCAACGTTAGAGGCACCCAGAACATCATCGACGCAGCTCGACAGTGCGACGCTTCTATCCTGGTGTATACTTCGTCTGGTTCCATCACGTTTCACACCACGCGATGCCTGCTCTGGCCATGGGAGAAACAACCGGAGCGCGTCGTTCAGCTTCTGGACGACAAGTCGCCCATTCCTTTGAAACATGAAGAGTTTTTCTCTAACTACGTTCGTCATCATCTCCCTCTCCCTAATGATGCCCGATACTGATTCTTGTTCTAGGCGGCGTCAAAAACCATCGCTGAAGGACTTGTGCGCTCCGCGGACAAAACTCCGTCGGGAACGGGCGTTCTCCGAACAGGATGTATCAGACCTGGAAATGGAATCTATGGCACGGGCGGCGATGCACTTTGCGGCGCACTCCTCGTTCGCAAATCAAATCAGACATGGATGGGCAACGTTTTGCACAGTTTCGTTTACGTCGAGAACTGCTCCTTGGCCCATTTGAACTACGAGAGGTGTCTCATCGAAATCGAGAAGGCGAGCCAACGGGGAAGCGGCAACGACGAACACAAGAGCGACGTGACCGACATAGGCGGGGACGCGTTCACGATTTGCGACAGTGGGCCGGCTGTGACTTACGGCGATGTCTACACCCTGCTTCAAACGCTCACGGCCGGCACAACCACTTTCACCACTGTCTCTCCGACCGCCATGCTCCTCCTCGCCCACCTCGTCGAATTCTATTACTTGCTTCGCCATCGCTTGATCAAATCGACATCGGCTGTTTCCCGCCTTGCTGGCCGGTGCCTCCCATCAGTGAAAGGGGACATCCTCGGCCTACAACCTTCCGCATTCCCCTTTACCCTCTCGCATCTCATATTCTCTGATTCTCGTGCTCGCCTTCCGCTGTCCTCCGGTGGGCTTGGCTATAGAGGGCCCTACACGACTTCGAAAGGTCTATGCAAGCTGGTGGAAGAGTACGAGAGGTCAGGGCGGAGGGCGGAGGAACGAAGTTTAACGCTGGGACTGGGGATGGATGTTGCACCACGTGCCACCCTCGCGGCTGATCTCGGGGGAAAGGTAAAGAGGATCGGACAGAGCCTTGCCGAAGAGGCAGTCGGACTCGCGAACTAATGCCGAACAGCATGTTTTTGTACACATTTGCTTGTTTGCTATGATTGTTTCATCATACTTGTTGTACGGATACTGCATAGTATCAGGAGCTATAGGTTATTAATCAGTGACATCGATAGCATTATCTCTACGATATGCCCAGTCCGCTTTCAGCAACTCCACTCCAATGGCCTGAGCAAGCGGCCAAGGTACCGCATTCCCGATCTGGCGATGTATCTGAAGTGTAGTATTGCATCAGCAACCGTCCGAAAGGCATGTGCATGTACACGACTCACCATCTTCACGCCCGCGGGACCTGTTCTGATATCCGTGGGCGCTTCTGTTTCCTTGCCCTTTTCGGTTGGCGCTGGAAAGCCATCTGCAACGAAGAAGAATTTATCCGGGAAGCCTTGGGATCGTGCGAGTTCCCGGACAGTCAGCATGCGGCGACACTAGATATGTACCTTCAACTGAGTATTTGCAGGCAAGAGCACGAGAAACTAACGAAAGGGTGTAAGACTGCACTCTGCTTGGCTGTCGGGCCGATGTTTGTTACTGTTGTGTGGAAATGGCCATCCTTACTCAAATGCTTGAATGGCCCTGAGAGTAGAGAGTCAGTGTACAGGAGGCGCCGGTGCTATGTAGATGCGCACCGGATATAAGTCCTTTACGAACCACGGAGGAACCCGGCCCAGCAATCTCATGCGACCACAACTCCTGGCCCAGTGCTAAGAAACCAACATGAGTGTGTGTTCTTGGGCAGCGACGAAGAAGACACACATCGATAGTCGCCGTCCAGATTCGTTGCAAACACCCTCTCGGCCGTTTCTCGTGACAAAGGCACTGTAATATGTTGAAGCTCGAGGGCAGCTTCTCTTCGGCACTGGGCTTGGTACCAGGTCTCGGGCTCGCGTCCGTACTCAGTTTCCGTAGGGCCCCAGCGATCGCTATCGTCGTCACATACAAACGAATCGACAATGCGACCTTGCTCTTCATCCTTGTTCCTCACAACCTGGCCAGTTTCGGAGTCCGGAATGTGGCTACAGTATCCATTGTGATCAGCAAGCTTAACCGAGAATAGATGGGGAAAATACCCACTAATCCCATATAGATAGGTCGCCGATGGCATCTTCCACCGTCACTGCGTGGAATGGAACCCGTCCATTAGCGGTAAACCTGACCTTTTCATCATCATGCAGGTGTATACAGTAGCCAGTGCTCGGGAACACATGGCTCATCTCAGGGAGACGTGGCAAGCACAGCCCAGAGCGAGCAGCGATAAGAAAGAACCGTTGACGGTGTTGTGGTGCGCCGTAATTGCCCGCTTGGAGAACCCCACATCTCACTTGGTATCTTATCAATATGTTCATTGAAATCCGAACATATAAGGCGAAGATGAACGCACGACATTGTAGTCAGTGCATGGTACAGCAGCCTGAGACCTCCCTGCACAAACACGAAGGCATTTTTAAATAGACGCGACATTGCTCAGATATCAAGCATATCTCACCATCTTGTTGTGCTCCGGATCTTCTTGACCTGCGCCAGGGTCGTACTCAAGGAAACCTGGTACGTTCTCAAATACACAGTACTTCGGCTGATACACATGGACGAAGCTGAGCATCGTCAGCATCAAGCGACTCCGCGGATCGTCTTCTTTGCGGTACATGTTGAGGGCGGAATGCGATTGGCTGCAATGGTGTTTAGACAGAGGATTCAGCAGTAGAAATTGACCTACCATGGAAATCCGGCGAGTATCACGTCAATGTCTCCTGGTAAAGGAGGCTTGGGAAGCAGCTCCGGCGGATGAATTTGCCGAGGCGCATCTTCTCTGCAGGGCTCGGCTTCGTTTAACATATCTGCGGTGTATCGGAGCATCTCGTTAGCACACTGGTTGTACACAATCGTCTGGGGAGAATTGGCACTGTAGTAAAGTATAAACATGTAATCAGAGAGTGTCAAAAAGCAACTGCTATACTTACCGGATTGTTTGACAAGCACTGGGCAGAATCTCAATAGCGTGCGTCACCTTCAACAGCCCCGCGTCCTGCATTGAGAGACTGAGGCCGCCGGCTCCTGCAAAGATATCTAGCGCCCGTAGTCTTGGATTGGAGCAGAGGAAGGTCTCGTGTTCCTTTGTGCAGTCAACGCATTGCCATAATTCACTAGGATTGAAAGCAATGCGATCCGACCAGGAGGGGTGTTGAACGGTCGGGAACTCGTATCGCACAAAGAAGTGGTTGATCGATTTGGACAGCCAAGCAGACAGTTCGTCACCAGGGAGCTCGCACGCATGTCGCACGTAGCACCGCCGAAGGATCAGAGATGCCCGGACGGTGATTTCGGTCTTCGTAAGAAACAACTGCCGCTATGTCATCCGGTAAGTAGCACTCAAAAGTCAGGCATTGAGGGAGGCACACCTCATCGCAAGGGAATCTGTTGGGTAGATCCCTCATGTTGTGAAGCCGCTCAAAGAGCATCACCTTAACTTTGGGTTCCGAACCCCCAACAATCCTCTTGATTTGGGCGACATGACAAAGGCTTTCGCCGGACCGTGCTTCGAGGAGGACGAAGTCATGCAGATGATACTCATTCCCATCTAGCGAAACGGTATCGTCTGCATAGCCTGTTTGTCGAGAACAAACGGGGCAACTCGACGGCTGAGGATGACGAGCCACATTCAGTTGGAGGTCCTTAACTGTGCTGGATTCCATCTCATATGCGAACCTTAAAGTACATCAGCTATGGGCCATATTCTATTCTTCGCAATGGAAACAACTCGCCTACAACTATACTTGCTAGCTGACGGTGACCTCGACTGCGCCTCGGACGCGGACCTTTGCTCCACATTCACGATGAGATCGATCTCTTCGACGAGCACGTCTTCGCAAGCGTCCGTGAGGAACAATTCACGAGGGACAATATCGTCCACAGCAAATCCGATATCGATGGCAGAGATGTACCATATGACATGAGCTTGTCGGGCCTGATCGTCGAGCCTAACGACCAAAGCTAACCTGTACAAGCATTAGTAGACTATGAAAGGGTCGTGGTCGGATGACTCACTGAAAGTACACTGGTCTGCCTTGGCGCGGGCGTACACGCACTGAATCGCCGGTCTGTACATCATGTATCAGCTTATCCAACCACACATCGAAAATTCGCTTACTATACAACAGGCCTTGCCAGCAACGACGCGTCTGGAGTGTCCGGTGCAGATAGGCGTGCAGGACTTATTCCCCAACTTGGAAGATACGAGCGCGGCGATCGGTACGTCTTGCGGCGTCGTGGACATAGGCGCTTCCTCAAGAGGCGGGTAGCCTAAGACTGCAAACCTTTCCCTAGGCGGGAAATACAAACTGGCCAACCGCTTGACGAGATTCGTGACTCTCGTCTTAGTCTGGAATCTGCCGGAAGCCGCCGCTGAGTCGTAGTTCATGCGCTTGCCGAAACCTCGTCTTCTTGGGCGTCGTGGGTTATCATCGCTATCTTCGCAAACGAGGCCGTGCTTGCGAGGAGGACGAACAGAGGGGTCATAGTTCGGGTCTCCAAGCAACAGACAATGGGTGATCAAGGGCGACTCGACCAAACGAGACCAATCCACAAAGTAGAGGTAGACGACGTCTCGGACTCGTTTCATCTAGTGGATAGGTCTCAGAAGATCGCCATAACCGTGAGTGGCAGAGAGGCGTGTACTTACGATGCTGACATTTGAGAGGTCATCGGGGTCGAAAAACCTGCGAAGTGGCTGATCGTACTTCCCTGCGAAATCCTCGATAAACGCGTCGTATGTTTGTTGTTCCTCGGGCTCGGTGAGATTGTCAACAGCAAAGGAGACTACATGCTGAGTAATTCGGATTGGCGTATAAAACGACAAGAACATATCACTGTATCCGATTGAGGGGCGTAGCAGCTTGTACCATGCATGGTTTGTCAAGATCCATAGCTCGCTATCAGATTAATCAAAAGAAGGACATGGAATAGGGAGGGCTGAGAAAGAACCTTTCAATATCGTCGTACTCGACGAACGTTTTACGGATAGGGCCGAGACGAATGGTCGTCCAGACCGGCTCAGAAACAGTTGCGTCTTCATTAGCATCACTGTCGGCGGCTTCTTCATCATCACTATCTTCGTCCTCATCGAATGCCGGGCAGACAGACCCGGTGCCCTCGATGCCGCACTTTTCAAGATCTGTGCCTTCGACAAGATCGCACATCGTCCGTGTGTCGGCAGAGTAGAACGTGAAATTTGTTAGCCACCGAACAGGCAGATCTCGGAGAGAGGTCCCCGAGTGTACGTCGAGTTCCGCGGGATCGTTATATTGCTCCTCCGGGATGACGGGCGGAGGATATTGATAGTTCGGCTCCGAAGGTATTTCTGGCTTCTACGTGTCCAATAATGAAGAAGAATAAGCGCATGATGCGGAGAGGATCAAGAGACGCACCTCATCCATCGGCTGTGCGTTGCTGCTGCGGCATACTGGGTCAGTGCCGGAAGATAGAGGCACAATGACAGCATACGAGTTATCCAATCCATCGTGAAGCTCACGGTCAGACGCGACCTTCTTCCGAGATCTCTGGAGTTACGATATAAGCGTATGAACGAAGATTCCCGAGCAGAATTGGCGTACTGTAGTAGGAACCTCTACCCCGTCGAAGATCAACCGTCGTTTCCTCGCACTGCTGCCAGAGCTGAAGTCTTCTGTCATGACGCGTCGTACCGGGATAGAAAGCTCTACCCCGTCGAACACCACCGTCCGTCGGTTCTTGGCGTTGCTACTACCATTGGATTTACCTATCATGTTCTGCCCTAGAAGAGTCGGCAAGAACGCAAGTGATCAGAACCCCTTAGTTTCCTGAGATGTGGTCCCGAACCGCTAGTCAAAGGGATCCTATATTGACATGAATGCGAGAGGTCTGATCAAGAACCTCGGCACCAGGACGTCTCATCGCGCCCACGTGCGCTACCGTAATAGGTACGCGCGCGACCATCAGTCGCCTTGGTCCCGAACCGCGCGGCAATGGACGTGGATGTCCCACCGAAGAGCTCATTGCCTGCTCCTGGAGCGATCTACACTCCCGAAGCATGCTTCCAACACACCCGGATCCTTGCCTTCAGCGGCATTTCCAGGACCGTTGACCACTTCCTCGCCGTCCTCTACATTCGAGCCGCGACGCCATTGCATTTATTACAAGAAAATGAATTGTGATAAGTAGCATACGAACGACCCCCTTCCGAAGGCCGCCCTCAGTTTATTCTCTCCTTCGGTGGACCAGGCAAGAGCGGATACCGAATCATCAGACTGATCAGGAGGTCGATTGGGCCCTGTCGATAATCGTCGGTCGTTGCAGAGAGCTCGGGAAGCCCTGAGACGGTCGTGAACTCGAGCATCGGTCTGCTGGCGCTCGAGTCGTAGGCAGGCCATTCCCGACGAAGTTGTCCGCAGCCGTTCTGCGGATCCAGCGTGTTGACGAAGCAGATGACGTAGTCCAGCAACTCCCCGCCTACTTTGCCGCCAAGGTCGTAGGCATTACGCAAGTCAGTTCCGTGCATCTGTAACAAGCGCCTCATCAGCACTGTCCGATGCTATATGACGCAGGAACTCACAGAACCCATGAAGCGAAGGTACTGGACAGCTTCATCCTTAAATCGCTTGCTTACTGTTGGGCATAGGTCAGCGGAGGATGTATAGACGAGAGTAGGAGACGCACAGAAGCCCCATATTTTGTGATTTCCGTAGTTCAATGCGGATTGCATGAAGAATCTCCGAGGCGCTTGGAATACCATGTCACCCTGTATGGCGGCAGCTTGTTTCCAAACGGGAGTAAGCTGGTTGTGGTCGCCTGTATCGAACGGAGAGCCTTGTCGGGGATCGTTGGTATAATTCCCGAACAAGTTGGTGATATCTGACGTAGTCGCATTCGGTAGATAGTTCTGGTGAATCCATGCCCGTAGGATTGCCTCCTGCCTGACGACGAGCTTCAGGTAAGATGATCGCAACCATCATCCGTAGATGAACCTACGATATGTTCGTGCTGGAGAGCGAGAAAAGAGTTCCCTCATCGTCACAGTTACCTGGAGTCACAGTGAATTGACCGAATCCAGTCTAGAGATCCTATTCGCGCACCTGAAATGAAGGGAATCTTTGCCATGATACCATCGGCGACAAGCTGCATGGGTTCGTCCGTCAGAACAACACCATCCACTCTGGGAACCCATGCAAGGTTTAGAGACTGTTGAAAAGGCGTCAGCATATACGAGCCGGGCTAGTGGTACGTGTCCCACGTACCTGGAATGAGAGGAATGAGGGCGACGCGTCCACTGCTGCTTTTAGGATATTGTAATCCGCATTGCGCAAACATGTGAGAGTATCATTCGCGTTTTGACATCCGGTCGCTCTGACCAGGTCGTTGTAGTACTTCTGTCCATGGGTTATATCGCCAACGGGAAGTGGGGCGCCAGATTGCATGATAGCCCCACGGAACAAGTTTTCGGTGTTTGCGTTGAACGCGATCATTTGCAGAGCAATTGACATCGCTCCCGCACTCTCCCCCCATCTGGAGATCCAGCCCCCATATCAGGCCTGCTTTGATCGGACGGCAATGAAAGAAACTCACAGAGTCACACTGGAAGGATCCCCGCCAAAGTTGGCGATGTATTGACTCACCCATCTCAGAGCCTGTCGTTCTAGGATATCGTACTAAACGTCAGTTTTGACTTCTTTACGAAATATGCATAACTGACGATCTTGTAGGCCCAGGTTCCCAAGCTTCGCATTCCTAACTTCCTCGCTCGCGAGAAATCCGAAAGCTGGAAACTCGAGCGTCAGTTGAAGAGCATGTCCATGCACAGGGCACGCTCATATTGACCTGAGAGGCTAGAAAAGATTCCTATTCAGCAGCAAAGTCTCGCACGCGCACTCGATACCCACCGATAGTTCACTCCCACCCAAATTACTGGTCTACCAATCGCGACGGAGCGCAAGACTACACTTTCTCCCTTGTTCCTGCGGACGACTGGTGATTAGGGGATGAACCGAACGATCAACCTCGTGGAATGCGTACGCTTGAGCAGCCCCTGTTTGGAATCCACCTGCGCAATTTGTTGATCAATGATCTCATGTGCCCTGCGGATACTCGCGTACCTCCCGGGAACCACTTCGTAAATCAAGGAAGGTATCAGTAATTTAGCAGGTACTAGGATAGCACGAATTCGCACCACTACAACCGGCAATCGAGAAGAGGGTGTTGCCGACGCAGGGACAAAGACATTAAGATTCAAGCCTATGTGGTGTTGAGCAAAGCACTGGATCGTCCCATATAAGGAATAGCATACAGTCCTCAGAACCTGTGAACGTTGGAATAGAGGTCTGAAGGAAGTTCTGTATATGCCTTTGGTCATCGTTCACTGGGGTCGGCCAGGTATAGTTCTGCTGCGAGCACGGACTTCCAAAAACCGTTGCGTTGACGGTTCCGTTGTAGGCCGGGTGCTGCTGAGGGAGCGAAAAACGAACCCTAGTAATCCTATCAGCTACGACCTCAAGGTGAGAAAGATGCGTGAAGTTTCATACGCAGGCGCGGCATAGCGGATGCCGAGGAACTCGGAATAGTTTCCGTTGCTGTTGCCGATGACAGTGGCGTTATCGAGCTTTACTTCGGGAGCGAAAGCAGAGGAGAGAGGGATCTGCTCTGAGCTGGACATTCCGCGCACCAGCTTGGCGAGTATTACGAAGCACGTTGCAGAAAGAAGCAAGACGTTCTGGCTATAAAGAATCATGATGCTGTATGTCGACGATCACCTGGAAGTGGGGGTCTTGATTTAGGGACGTTATGGTGTTCCCAATGGTCTTTTTGTATGCGTGGGGCGACGGCCACCTGTCCCCGGCAGCCACCATTTGCGGAGCATAGTAGAGCATACCTGACACTACGCCCGTTAGTTGACAACCGTGTAATGCGATATGAGCGGGAAATGCACTCCTCAAGCCTTAAACGTAGTTGTCTCGCGGACGCAAACGGCTGTGGCCCGGATACACATATGACCTCCGCTTCCTCCGCATATCGTACCGCTTGAATCCGAGACGCGGCACGGCTTCTCCGTGGTGGAATACGGCTTGGTAGTTGGAGGTGACGTTGTGCTAGTCTGGGATACTTCCGAGCGTGGTTCGACGGGGGGAATATAGGGCGCCACTTGCACTGATCCGGTGGCTCACAATGGCACCCGGGCTCGAGACCGTCCGGATGGGCTAGTTGAGCCTCCTCGAGTATTGCTCATAGGGTACCTGAAGTCTGTTCGTCCGAAAGCCATTGGCGTAGCTTTGCCGTCTCAACGCCTGCAAACTGCCAGACAATGACATCGACATCCTGAGTTTGTCCCGATGATAAGCATAACTTACCAAGACGCTTGAGTCTATACGCGCCCTTGAGGTTCACGGATACACGAGTAGTGCCTTCGTAGAGGTCGCCGATGCATGATGCCAGAAGACCCGAGTTTCATGGTTCGCCGTTCAATTCGGATATTCTTGAAGCACACATAGCCTCGCGGTGGGGATTCATGAGCACCAACAGCTTAGAGGGCCAGGAGCCTGAGCTTGCGAAAGGATGATCATAGTCCTAAGTCAAGTCTGAGTTCGAAGTTGCACCTCATCCTCGCGCTACTTACGTAGAACCTGCGTCTTATTCATCCGATGCGACCAGCTGCCTCGATACCAGGCATCAAGCTTCGGCACTTCAGGCTTCCAACGTTAACCAGTTGATATCTCGGTACCACTTTGTATGAGCATGACAACATGCTCGGCCTGCTGCCTGTTGAACTCATTCAATTGGTGCTGGACAAGCTGGACGCCAACACGGACCTGATGGCATGCGCTCTATCCTGCCAGGGGCTGCGGACACTCAGCCAGCAGAAGCTATGGCAGCAGATAAGTATCAGGAGTGAAGTCGGGCTGCATTCCCTTCTCGGTCTCCTGAAAGCCTCCCCGCACCTCGGTTCGTACATACGGAGGCTTCGTATAAGCACCGCCTGCCGCTGGTCGTCGAAGGAAGAGCACCATAAAGACACGACGGACACGGTGCCTACGATAGATACCCTCGCCGGCTATCTCGAGCGGATCGAAGACCTCAGCCTGATCGCCTACTCCTACCGCGAAGTAACGCTCCCAAAGCCGATATCGAGAGCATGCTTCCAACACACCCGCATCGTCGCCTTAGACGGCGTTTTCAAGACCGTTGACGACTTCCTCGCCGTCCTCGCCAGCTTCCCTCATGCATCCTTCCTGACGCTCTTCCGAGTACGCATCACGAACTTCTTGTGGGAGAACATGTTCAGGGTGGCCGCAAGCCCGTGGTTACCTCCTCTTTACCACCTGGACGTCACCGCGTCGACGATCGTTCCTTGGACGCGGTTCCTGTATCGTTGGCTCGCGGCTGAACAGGTCCTCCACCTACGACGCCTCCTCGTCCACCACACGTCGGAAGGCGATTGGAAGTACCTCGGAGAGCTCATCCAAAGACTTTCTGAGTTACAACACCTTTCGCTCGCCGCGCCCTTGAATCCGACCCGCAGTGAGCTTGACGCTTCCGTCTTACATGCGTTTGCTGATCTATTTACTGTTCAGGACCTTTGGTCGAGTTGATCAGCCTTGACAAGTGCATATCCCTCGCGAGCCTTGAGCTGAAAATAACGATAGACTACCCCCAAGATCCCCTCCTCGCCAACTGGCCGACCGACCTCCTCGCTACCGTCAACGCCCCCTCGCTCGTCCGCATCGACCTCACGATCCCTTACCAAGGCAAACTCAACTACTCGCAAGTCCTCTTGTGGAACGTCCTCGACGAGCTCCTCTCGGATACCACGAGGTTCCCGTCCCTTAGAGACGTCGTCATCGCCCCACAGACGGCCGTGGAGGCGGACGAGCACCCGGACATCGTCGAAGCTCAGCCCGCCTTGCTTCCGCGCACCTTCGAGAAGGGCTTGCTGCGTACCCTTCCCGACAACAGCATGTACAATGTCATGTTCTAGCCGGAAATGCCCGCTCCGGAGGATTCGGATTCACCAAGATATATAAAATGATAGAAGTTGTTCCGCGCCGCGCGTTCAACACGCGCTTTACCCTAGATTGCTCTCAATTAAAACCTCCGGCGGCACGAGAGAAGGGCGGGTCGGCGATCCGTGACAGACGTTCCCAATCGAATGCCGCCGTCGTGGATGCTTGATGGAACAAGGATATAGCAAGACGGCAACGGGTGACCCCGCAGCTCGTGAACGGCCGCAAGGACTGGTCCTGGGTTCACGGCCGCGTGCATATGCTCATTGTCGATAACGATTGCCCAAGACCTACTACTGTATCAACGGATCGCGCGTCGACCACTCCACGCAGCCTGGACTCAGTCTAATATATCGGAAGTACTTCCCGCTTTAGACGACGTGCAATTTTGAGGGCGGAATCTAATGTCGAGTCAAACCAGCGGCGATAACGCCCACAGTGGAGATGATGTTTGTATTGTTTGTATTCCGGTTTCTATTTCCGATTTCTAATGCACAGTAACGTTTGTATGTACAGTAACAGCATGACGAATGCAGGTAGTGGATGTCTGTCTGAGTGTTGTGTGTTGCGGCGTCGGTGCAAACGATGCGGAGGGCAGACGAGAAAGAGAGGGAAAGGAGAAAGAGAATGCGATGAATGCGAATGAATAATGGGTTAATAGGAGGGAGGGCTAGCAAATAATCAGCATAAGAGACATCATACACAACTCCCGGATAAAGGTCCTCTCTAATGCGGCAGGAGAAGAACGACCGATGAATGGACTACACCCTTCACGGCTTGCCAGAATCGACGTTATACGGCTGCACCGTCCTCGTCACGGGCGTCATCGGCGCCGGCGTCGGAGCCGCGGGCGTCATCGAGCTCAGCGGGCTGAGCACGCCCCGTCCAGGCTTCTGCTTATCGCCCGTCGCCCACATCTCGCCCGCCGCGGGTCCGAACGGTCCAGGGGTCACCGGGCGCGACGTGACGGGCGTGTTCACCTGCGAACGGTTGTGCGCCATGTGCGCGCGGATGAGGTGGCCCGCCGCGAGCGCGGACATGAGCGAGAGTTCGCCGGCCATGACGGCGGCGGCGATGATCCGCGCGAGCTGCCGTGCGTTGCGGCCGGGTTCAGTAGGGTGCGCGCCGCGAACGCCAAGCATGTCGAGAACCGCGCCTTGAGGGCCGAGGATGGTGCCGCCGCCAACGGTGCCGACTTCGATGCAGGGCATGGAGACAGTCATGAGGAGGTCTTCACCCTTGTTGGTTCTATCAACAAGTGGATGTCAGAATGAGTGGAGAAGAAAGTAAGTGGACAGCACGTACGGCTCCATGAGAGTTATGCACTGTGAGCTCTCGACGTTCTGTGCCGGATCCTGGCCCGTCGCGAGGAAGACAGCCGTGAGGATATTCGCCGCATGAGCGTTGAATCCGCCGATTGAGCCAGCCATCGCACTGCCCACTAGGTTCTTCTTCGTGTTCAAGTTGCACAACGCATCCACGCTCGTCTTAAGCACCGACTTGACGATCTTGCCAGGGATCACAGCCTCGGCGACGATACTCTTGCCCCGTCCCTCGATCCAGTTGATCGCGGCCGGCTTCTTGTCCGTGCAATAGTTGCCCGACAGCGCGAGAACGACGGCTGCCGGGTATCGCTCGCCGAGGACTTCGAGCGCCTTCTCCGTTCCCTTGCTGATCATGTTCATGCCCATAGCGTCACCCGTCTGAGTCGCGAAGCGGACGAAGAGCGTCCGACCCGCCATCGCGCACTTGAGCCGCTGCAGTCGCGCAAACCGGGAGGTCGACTCGAACGCCGCCTTGATAGTGGCGTAGCCATCTTCTGACTCGAGCCATTCGCGTGCGGAGGCAGCCTGAACGATCGTAGGGAAGTCGATGGCGGGACCGCGGGTCATTGCGTCGTGGGTGAGAACCGTAGTGACTCCGCCGCCGGCATTGAGCGCCTTGCATCCACGAGAGGTCGACGCGACCAAGGTACCTTCAGCGGTGGCCATAGGAATCGGGAACAACTCGCCGTCAATCTTGAGCGGGCCAGCGACACCGAGGGGGATGGGCATGTAACCGATGACGTTCTCGCAACACGCACCCATGACCTTTGAGTAGTCGTAGCCGGACATGGGGACATCAGAGTGCTCGAGAGTCTTCGTGACCGAGGCGCGGGCTGGCAGAAAATGGGATATATTAGCGAATGGCCCAGGGAAGGAACGAGGAGAAAGACCCACAAATGAGTGCGCGCCGGATGAAGACAGCTCGTTCCAAGTCACCGAGGATCTTCTCCAACGCGTACGGAGCGATCTTGCCGTTTTGTGCGAGCATGATGACCTCCTCGTCCGTCAGCGTCGCAAGTGCCACCGACACCGGCTTCGGTCCGTTCTCGAAAATGTCGAGGCACTCCTCCAAAGATCGGACGGGGCCAACGCTCTCCTTCTTGACGTATCCCTCGCTCTCGCCCCTTGTGGCCAAGCTGAGAGGACCGGGACGGTCGGCGCGGTGTTGAGGCGCAGGCTCCGGCGGGCTGTCCTGCACGGGTGGGGTGACACTCGGGGTCGGCAGCCCCTTCTTGATCTGCTCCTCCTCGAGCTTCCTCGCCTCCTCCAACTTCTTGTCCACCGCGTCCAACCTCAACCCGAGCTCGTTGTCGGCGCGAATCGGGATGGGCGCGATGGCGGCGGCGGCGAACGAGACCGGCATCTCGCGGTCGACGTGCTTCTCCTCCGCGAGCGCGTGGAAGCGAACTCCGGGAGAGGGTTTGGGCGAGGACCCGGAGCTGGCGACGACGATTCCCTTCATGAGGTACCCGTTGAGCGCGACGCTGACCGCGAGCAAGCCGACGATCCACTTGCTGAGGACGGGGTCGCCGACGAGGCGCGTCCACGACTCCATGAAGTCCTCGATAGCCGACTCCTCCGCGGCGGGAGACGACACCGCGGGGTGCGACGCGCTGGAACCCGATGCGGAAGCTGCTGAGCCAACGCGAATGTGGACGGGTGGTGCGACCTTAACGAGCAGCGGGACCTCGGCGGTGTGAGCAGCGGCGAGGCTCGCGAGCGCCTCCGAGACGGCGGGCGCGGCGATGTCGACCTTGTGGCTCAGGCGGTCGGTCTCGACGGCGGCGGCCGGGACGTTGTGGGTGTTGTACCGGGCGATCGCCGTGTCGGACGTGAGGGCCGAAGAGAAGTTGAGCACGTGGAGACCCAGGAACGTGACGATCTGCATGTACGTCATGAGATGAGCTCACAGGGCACATATCCAGATGAGGCAAGGGGACTTACCAAAGCAAGCTTGATCTTCGTCGCGGGCTTCTGGCGGTCGCCCTTCGCGTCCACCTTGCTGTGCAGCATCGCGCCCTTGACGCCGAGCACGGCCGCAGACCATTTCTGCGCGAGAGTGAGGCCCTCGATGCGGGGGTGCACGGCGCCGGTTGCGCTGTTCGCCTTGTGCATGGGCGCAACGCCGAACTTGGCGGCTTGACGAAGCTGCTTGATCCTGCGAACCTACGGTAGACCAAATCAGTAACCAGATACGATGGACACAATGTCTGTAAAAGCTTACCTCGACGATGACGCTGAGAAGCGAAACGTAGAACGTGCCGAGCGCGATACAGTCAATAGTGAGCAGCAGCGCGGCGAGAGCGCATATATCCTTCAATCCGCCGACCTTCGAGTACGCGCCGCCGAGGAGGACCGCGATCTCGAGCAGATAGTCACGCAGGATGCCGTTGCCGACCTGATCGAACGCCTCCAAGATGACCTCGCTTGCGGGCTTGAACGCGGGCTGACGGGACGCTCCGCCGGGGCTGGCGAGCGACGACCCGCTCGTCGGGGGCGTGAGCAGGTGCGGGTGGCGGAAGACGGCGCCAGCGAGGCGGAGGGGTTTGTCGAAGCCGACGGTGCAGACGATGAACGGCAGCGCCTCGCTGAGGCTGATCGGGTCGAGCTGGATGCCGAGCGCGGTCGAGATCGGGAGGCTGACGATGAAGGAGAGCGTCGAGCTGAGCAGGATCGCGGTTGGGATCCAGAAGTGGGAGCCGAGCGCGCGGGAGGAGAGCATGAGGCGTACGAAGGTGATGTGCATCGCGATGTAGCCGGCGAGGACGAGGAGGATGTCGAGGCTGTTTGCGTGCTGCGCGAGCGCCCAGAAGCGGGCGACGGTCGCGCGGAGCGCGTGCGCGACCCACCGGCCGGACTTCATGCTCGCGATCGCCGAGTCTTGAGGGGCGGCTGAGGCGGCGCCGGACGATTCGAGGTGAAGCTCAAGGGCCGAGTCGGCGAGAGTGAGCGGGGAGCGGCGCTTGAGCGCGGCGAGGAAAGCATCGCGCGCGCCGGGGGCGAAGGCGAGCGTGAGGTCGTGCGTGCGCGGGGAGGTGTAGGCGAAGCAGGCGGCCGAGGTGGTGTTGGTGGATTCCGGGGTGTAGCAGAGGGTCGAGTACGCGTTGCCGGAGGAGGAAACGACGTCCTGCGTAAGCGCGTGGGCGGCGCTGTCAAGAAGCCGGCTCTTCGGAGAAGCCGAAGCGCCAGAAGCGAGCGAAAAGACGAACTGCTGCAACTCGAGCGGGCGTGCGGTCGTCGAGTCGTCTGCGTCGGCAGAGAGCGCGTCGAGCCAGACGCTCTGCGGAACGCTCACCCAAGCGTCGCCAGGCGCACGGAGGAGGGCGTGCGCGGGGCGCAGGGAGGCCGCGGAGGGGACCGGGGCGAAGAAGGAGGAGTGCTTGATGGCGTCGAGGACGTGGAAGTAGGCGACGGTCGAGACGACGAGGAAGCCAACGATGTGCTCTATGGGTAGGCGAACGGCGCTACCCGCGATGGGCCGGAGGAGGGTCTTCATCCTAGCTTGGTCGGCCTAAGCGGAACCGAGGCTTGTCTTTTGATGGTGGTGGTATGCAAGGATGGGAGGGCGTGGTGGTTTGCCACGAGTAGGTGCGTCGGTGGAGGACGGGGAGAGCGCTATTATATGATGCTATTGTCGAAACGAAACGTTAGTGCCCATGGTCCGGAGCAAGCAATGAAACCGTAAAGGTTGACTCGCCTCGTCGCCCGAGACTTGGCCAGCCACGGAACACAATAAGTAAGCAACGTGCCCGTCGGTCCGGAGCGTGCTATAGGGGATATTATTTGCGCTGGTCTGGTTTCGTCCGGTGGAAAGAAACAGACGCAAAGACGCGAGGGGAGGTGGAACGAACGAGTGTGGGGTGAACCAAGCAGTATTTTATGCGGAATGGTGCTACTCTCGTGGGGCGCGCCCAGGGCGGGCGATGCTATTGGCTGCGGCAGCCCGCACCCATATCGAATCAGGGGCTTTTCCCTCTATGAACATCGGCTCGCACGCTTCTATCCTCGGCGCCCCGTTCGTCTCATGCACCCCGTCCGTCCCGTTCATGGTTTCAATTTCCACACAGGAGGATTCGCGCTCCCCAGTGCTCTCCACCATCCTTCGCGCCTCAAACACCCCGCGAGCGAGTGTTGGCCAGCACACACAAGGGCGGCTCAGACAGGGATCATGTCAGCCACCCGCGACTCACGCTCGGGCAAGCGCGGATACCGCTTTGACATGCGGCCGCATATCCAGAAAGGGTACTACGACGGGAGGGTTCTCTTATGCTCCTCCAGCCACCGACCGATAGCGCCTACTACTCAGTATATCCACTTCTAGATATCCGCGTATCGTATCCGTCCTCCTCGTGTGCATTACTTAACCCCTCGTCGTGATGGCGTTCACACCGGTTAACGTTCTGGCCGCCCTATAGCAAATGCTCTGAACACGCCATGCATCCCGAGTCTTACTTACAAAGTCAACAGCGAGATCGACGAAACCCGCTCGCCGCGGCTTCTGGAATCGACCGCGCCGGAGCGCTGTACTCAGCGCCTCAGCCTTATCTCAGCGCATAGCGCTCACGCCAATCTCGCCGGAATCGATTCGCGAACCCCGGACGGCGCTCTCCGCAAGCCGGTTTCGCGAATCGTAACTGCCTCTTGTCTCTGACCATGAATAACCCAACGTAATCCCTCACGCTCCACCTACCCTCTGCGGTTGCTCCAAACCCTACGATCCGTCTCGGTTCGACTTCGCGGCTGCTGATACTTGCAGGAACCTGACTTGGCACCACCGTTGTAATGCGATCAGACATATTGCCACTTGCCGATATCCAACCACCGCCCCTTCACCTCCGCCTCGCGCGGCCGCGGCCAGCACCTATTCAGAGCGGCACGCCAGGCCCCAGTCGCAAGGCTTATCCTCGCTTCTGGCGTTGTTTGGATTGATTCGTTACACCAACCATCTCCGGCGTTCCTGGCCTCCTCTGCGGCGTTCCTTCGTCTTGATCTTCATACTCTCTTCTCTTCTCCATTAGCCCGCCCGCACATTTCGCAATCTCACGGCGCGAATGCAATCGCAGAGACCATGACAATGCATCCGCAGGATGATGTCCTGCGTATCAAACCCGCGATTTCTCCGGTGCTTGTAAGTTACCTGCTCGTGCGGCCACTACTTCACCACCGCGTCACCACCATCATATGTGACGACGACTGCGCAACGTGAGCAACATCGTGGCGTCGACGACATCGAAATCGCTAGATCTGATGGCAACATGATCTGGACCAGGCCAACGTTACGTACTTCGACGTGAAACTTAATCATGCGTACTGTGCCCATGCATCTATGTATAAGTGCGGCGGCGGGCGGCACGATATCGTCCAGCGAATCATCACATGTACCTATCGTGCCCTCCAGCATCCCAATGCGACCAGACAACCCGCCTAATGTACGCAGCAATATCTTAGGAAGCCCGTCAATCCTCGCGAACACGGGCTTCATAAGACGAGATGACCAACGCGCAGCGTCATCCATCATTAATGAAATACCCCGCATACCTCCACATATGTCTCCAGATCATGCACCAGTCGCCTAATTCCCCCAGATTGCTCTAGGTCCACCGAAGCCCATCGAGCTCTAGAGTCTATGCGGCATTCACAATAAGCACACGCATACGACCTCTGTACCAACGCAGAATCTCCACCGGCAGAAGCGACTCATCGACTAACCTACAAGCTTCCGCAAGCCCTACCCTGGTCAGTCGCAGGCTCCATTCAGCTCCAAGCTCCGGTACAATCCCGTCCCGCAAAAGACAGCGTGAAAGAAGGCCAGGACTCAATCGAGTCCTCAACGGCCAACAGAGCTTGTATCAATTGACGGAAACGACGGTCTGACATGGAAGATGGGATGATTGACCGTCGGCCAGAGACCCGGAACGCAGGCAGCAGATAACCGATCTGCTTCCGGTATTTGTTTATGTTTGCACCCGTCCGTCTGCGTGACGCCGAGGTTACGTCGTCCGCAAAGCACAGTCCTCGACGGCACGCGTTATCGTCCAGGACATCGAAAGGACTGCGTCCAAACAGCTACCGGAGGAAGCGACCAATGGCGTGAAATGACGAATGCGAGAGGCGGACCTTGGCATTTGCGACGCTAACACGGGAACGGCTTGACTTCACCCCCTGTTGGATAATGGTGTGAGCAGAGAACGTTGAATATGGATGCATCGCTGAGACTGGACAAGGGCGGTTCCGCGGGCGGTACCCAGGCCGCACCAGCACCACCACGTACGACCGCGGATTACTCCTTTCATGAGGAGCAAGATCGAGTTTCTGCCGAGCTCGAGAAAACACAGGTTGGGGCCATTCATTAAGCCTGCGATTGGTCCAGGGGCTCGCTTCGCCCAGCAGCCTTATGCCTGCCTTTTGACCTTCTTCAAGCCCTGCGAGGAAAAGGGCAGTCGATGTCGCCGCCCGATTGCATGGCAAAAAGTGATCATCTCAGCAGTATCCATCGCCTATGCATGCAGGCAATGCAGCGCATTGATTTACATGCTTCGCGAAGTGCCTTGTGAACACATGCTACAGTACGCTGGGTGCAGCATTACAGCTCAGGGGTTTGAACCGCTGAAGGGCAGTCCAGCCGCGCAGCAGGAGAAGCTGCTACTCGAGGGTTCAATCGACATTCACAGACAAACTCCTGGGGGGTTGTCGGAATAACACCCCACGGTACGGAACACAGCCCTTGCAATGATAGAAAAAGCACTGCGTTCTGAATCGGAAGTGTGGCGGCGGCTGCACGTGGCGCTTGGGCAGCTGTAAAATTCCAGTGTCCGAGCTATACCATCAAGTATAGGATGGCTATGTCAAAGGATAGCCCACGCGCGTGGAATACACGTAGGCGGCCGTGCACTCATGTTCGCAGTATAGCGCTATTGAGTTGGGATCCATACTGCCTTCCACAGGAGCGACACAGCACGACTGCCATCAAAACCTTCCACGAATGATACTTAAGTTGATGAACCACCCAAAGTCTTTACCCCCCCCCCCCACGGCCCACCGTGCCGCGTACTTTAGATCATGATCCTGCACCATGTTCGACCCACCCGCCCCCACGATACAAAATACCCAGTCTCTCTTCTCTTACACTCTTACAATGAGCCTTGGCTTAGTTGCAAACATCACCGGAGTCATCTCTTTCTTTGCTGGACTTGGTGTTTCCGCTGTTGTCTATATACTAGGAAGAAGCTTTCGGCTCTCTTCCCAATATGCCGATCTGAAGAGACGAATCGACACCGCTGAATACGACTTCGATATCTTGTGCAATCAACGATCGTCACTACAGGGTCTATCCGACGCTAGATTCATGTGTGAGACTGAGGTGAAGCTCGAAGGGTACGACCTCGCATCTTATCATTTCTACCTCCTGTGTATCAAAAGCGTACTCACTTCCGCCAATCCAGCATTCGTGTCCGCATGCGCGCTTTTGACATGGAAATTCACCGACCCAATACGACAGTCGAGAAGTTGGTCGCTTTCGTGCGTCTCACGGGCGAGCTGAAGCATGCCAGGGACGAGGTGGATAAACTGCAGAAGTCCATCCTGAATCAGCTTCGACTTATGGCGATCCTGCCGTTGCATGGTGGGGTGCTCCGCGCCGATCTGAGATACAACATGCGAGGCGGTCTTCTGCCTTTTTGAATAACAAGGAAACCTGGCCCTACATAGAAGGAAAGGTATGTTGTCGGTGAATCTGTTGCATATCATAAACTCAAATATACGATAGCGGATAGTGTTGGGGTCAGGCTTCAGGTATGTACTTATTTGTCCACTTCGAAAATTCGACGGACGCACTCAAACTATGATGTGCAAGAAGTGAATTTCATCGACGTGCCGGGTCGGGGTTATGAGATTGGTATAGGTCGGGGCACTCCGTAGAATTACCTACTGCAGCCCAGAGAACGCGAGCAAATGCACATAGGATCAACTCCTGCCGCATCAGACCATGGTGCTTTCGTAGCAAATTGAACCTCTCACATCATATCGACCCTCGAGAGCCGACTGCACTTTAAGCCAAAAAAGGGCGCAGGTTCGTCATCGGGATCATCCCGTTTACGAGTACTGCTTTCGTCGGAGGAATCCGCGGCACAGCGAAGTGTCGATCAAAAGGACATGCGCGCAATGTCCGACTCGGAGCATTGGGCCAGTCAACGGTCGAGGTGGAGGAGAAGAGACCGACTGATGACGTAAACTCGCTGATGCACCCGTTAGGGCCGGTTAGGTTTCCCCCGTGTTTGCATGTCCATCAACTTTGTTCAAATACAATGCGAGTCGACCAGGGTAGATATGTGATCCGGGGCGCTGCGGCGTGCAAGGCAATATCGTGACCTCTTTGAGGTGCGGGAACCGTCGCGAGTCGGCCAAAATATCGTCAATGTCGTCCCAGAGCAGAACTTGGCAGTAAAAGGAGTCGTTCCAATACTCGACGCTGATCGTGACGCGTTCGAGCAAATGGCTCTGTGCGGTATCGAGAAACTGTGAGACCCACGTCGCACAGATTGGGCGTTGGACCGCGAGATTGATGGGGACGCACAAGCTAAGGGATCGAAGCTGTGTGCATCGCCCTAAGTTCACGAGCTCCGTCATCGGCTCTGTATACGTTTGAGATGAGACGATAACACATAAAGATTATGTTCAACACACTTTTGGATGGGTATATAGGCGCGGAAAACGCTAGGTGCTCTAGTTGAGGAAGGTTGTCGAGTAAGCCACGTAGCGCGTCCCAATGTCTTTCGACGCTATAGTCGATGAAAAGGCGTTGCATAGAAAGGGCTGGTCTGCTCCCCAAACGACGATAGAAAAGGTGTGTCAGGTCTTTGGGGTTCCAGGGGCAGGGTCTCATGTCCAGAGAGCGAAGGTCGATAAGTGTCGAACCGGGCACGGAGTCATCCTCTGGGGCGTCCGGATTTAATGTCACGTTGTCCATCCTCAGCGCGGAGAGGCGGGGAAACCTCCCAAGCGCGGCCATCAAATCATGCAATGACGCAAAGATGCAGCCCGTCAGACTGACGACCCTTACATTCTGGGCGCGAAGGATGGAAGAAAGCGCGTAGAGATGAGACTCGGTGATCGTAGATTGAATCTTTTGCTTCGTGTTTGCTGATACCCCTGGGCAAACTGGCGAGAGCGAGCTCGTCAAGATATGTAAGTCGCAGCAGCAGATCGCGCATATGATTTTGCGTAGTCCCATCTTTCCCTACTGGAGGCGCAGTCGGTGGTCCGGATTGGGAAAGGTAGGTATGAACGTGCAGTTTGCGAATGTAACGAGCGATTTCGGGAATGTGGTCGAGCAATTCGAGGACCGTCCGTATGTGCTCGTCCTTCACGAGCGTCATCCTCCTCCAGAATGATGTTCGCGCGTGAGGGAGCATGCGTTGGTAGGTGAGCGCGCAGGCTCGGACATCAACTTCATCGTCCAGCTTCTCGATGATAAACCCCAGAATTTCTGGCGGCAGCATGGTGATATCTCTCTTGAGAATGCATCGCATAGCGAAGGTTCGGGGTTGTTGTCGTGGCGTCTAGTAGAATCGTGCACCTTGAGGTGGTCATGATTTGAGTCAGGTCGTCCGACGCGTACGGTGTGGTCACAGGTTGAGGCGCTGTTCGCAATCGCCGGGCTGCTCGAAATGCATCGCCGGGGCGCGTCAGTCGCTCCCTCGCGACCGTTCTACGTAGTGGTGGTACTACACAGACGCGCTCTCATCGGTAACTGGCTCTGTGCCCGCAACTCAGGGTGAGGCAGAACAGTGCACCACCCATTTTGATATCTGCGGAAGACGCCCAGGGAACTGGAGTTGCGCAGAAGCCACAGACAAACGCATGCGGAAGCAAGGAGAAAATGCACGCCCCCCCAACTCCGAACATCGTGCGCATCAGTGCCGGCATTTAGAGGATACATTCCACAAGGGAGTGTGGTCGGACGCGTCGGAGGCATTTCGGCTATCGTATCGGACATTGACGTGCATGCCTCTGGCTCTCGATGTAAGGATCACTAGCGTTCGCACACTTGTGCGCCGATTTAGGACAGGAATTCTGAGTCGATAACCCATGAATATAGACTTCACCATACATACAGCAAACACGGCGCGAATATCTCACCCAAAATGTTCATCTGCGATTTCGCGATGACAGCTTGCGAGCGAGCAACAACAGCGCACGGCCCATGAATGTTCTTCTCGAGCACTGCAAGCTCGTCAGACCGCCTGTCGCTCTCAGAACGTCGTGTGGAACATACCTCGGGGCACCAGTATAGGGAATTATAGCCGCTCCCACCGCACCTCTCAAAATGGTCGGCATGGTTTGCCCGCTCCACTCTGCCGCAGTAACAACATACTCGGAGCAACGCGTCCTCATCGAGCAATACCTCCGCCTGCAGTGCTCTCCCTTCCGCCGCACGCGGATCCAAGCGCATGCCGCCCGTCAAGCGCAGCGGGGGGCGCTTATAATCGATATTGATCAACGCGTCGAGAGTACTGCCCGGTACTTGCGACGGCGTCATCTCCACATCCGGCACGACCCACAACAACGGCTTTCCGTCCTGAGAAACCTCAGCCCGCGCCGTGGAGTTGAGAGTGGTGATGTAGCAAACGTCGAAGAGGTCTGAGCCCCAGGTAGACACGAACATGTACTGGGCCGAATCGATGTGCGATTTGCGCGCGAGGGCGAAGGGAAAGCCCGGGATTACGGGATTGACGAGGTTCCCCTCCCCGTGGTAGTAGGCCTCAATGCGGTCACCGATGCCAAATACCATGGGTGTCTCTGGATGTATGGAAGAAGATGGTAAATGGTTGGAATCGAGAGTGTGCGGCATCTACATGAGACGCGTCTTTTGCTGTTCAGTGCTGTTCGAACAGGGCTCTCTTGATGCTGGCGCCGACGCCGGCGGTTCCGTCAGACAAAGCTGGGAAACTATCACTGGAATGGCCTGATACGTCGGATTTCGGGCTCCATGCTGTGCCACCACATGCATCGACCTGCATACGTCTGATCATCACTATAAGGCGGGATTGCCAGCGTTCGCAGGTTAGTGTGCAAGTGCAGGACAAGGGTTATGATTATGATACCTAATATAGTCGTGAGTGTACAGTGTAGCATATAGAGAAGGTGCATTTCTGGCTCGCAATGTTCTGATGAAATCGCGCGATGAAATCTTGCGAGCAAGCGAATACGGCACACGTTCTACGCGAGCACTGCGAACTCGTTAGGGGGCCTGTCGCCTGAATGACACTAACAAACACACCTTGCGACACCAGTACAAGATGCCATAGTCGTTCCCGCTGCGACTTCGAGCTAATCCGGGCCGTTTCCATCCATCCATTAGATTCGAAGCAGGGCGTCATTCAAGGAAACCCCCCCCCCCCCCCCCCCCCCCCCCCCCCCC